TCTTTCTCTGTCTCTCTCTCTCTCTCTTCCTCTCTCTCTTCTCTCTCTCTCTCTCTCTCTCTCTCTCTCTCTCTCTCTCTCTCTCTCTCTCTCTCTCTCTCTCTCTCTCTCCCTTCCTCACTCTTCCTCTTCCCCTCTCTCTCTCTCTCTCTCTCTCTCTCTCTCTCTGTCTCTCTCTCTCTTCCTCTCTCTCTTCCTCTCTCTCTTCCTCTCTCTCTCTCTCTCTCTTCCTCTCTGTCATGTGGATCGCCCATTCACACAGTCATGGTCGCTCCTTCAGTTCTGATCATGCTGATTCACGGTGGGTCTCATGCTGACCCGAGTACAACAGTGGACTTTGAAGTAAAGCTGCCAAAGACATTCATAACATCATAACACAGAAAGCGTTCTTTTTCAATTTCTGCAAACAAGCATTACAGTGGAACTCCAGAGCTCTGGCTCTCCAAGACTGATGCAGTGTGTTATTACAGAGCTAATGAAAAAAATAACCTTTAGATTCTTAAAGACGCAGTAATGGAAACAGCCTGTTTAATTGTAGGGGCTAAAGAAAGGTCTGAAAATTGTCATGTAAAGATGATTTATGACATAAACCCACATAAACTGAAGTGGTGCATATCGACTCTTTCTGTATCTTTCTGTATATATGTAATATACAGTAGGTACTACTGTATAGTAGTAGATAAAGTGTAATATGCAGTACTATAGTATGCAAGATTTTTGTTTATTTGTTTATTTGTTTATTTTTAGGATCCCCATTAGCCGCTATTGTGATAGCCGCTATTCTTCCTGGGGTCCATGATATTATATGTTATATATATAATAATTAATATATAATAATTAATGGTGGTTAACTGTGCAGAACACAAATATATATAAGGTGAAGGTGACCTTTAATGCGTTTTCGAATTAAGCCCTTTGTTTTCAATATGTATCATTTTTCTTTCCTGCTTCTTCCCTCCCTCTGCAGTCATGTGGAGGGTTTATTGACGCTGGACCAGAGTGTTCAGCTGTTATGATCGTTGCTCAGCTGTGATGGTAATATGTTCTCCACGGTTGATCTTGCAGGTTAAATGTATAATGACTTTATAGCTGTGTTTGCAATAACAGTAATCAGTCTGACCTTTACAGCCGGGCTGGACGCTCTGGCCTTCATGTACATTGGTCAGAATGTGAATTAATTCACTGAGGACAGCCTTGAAGCTTTACTGATAATAAAGTATACAGTATTTCTGAGCTCAATAGGACTGAAACCTCTCTCAATTATTAATATACACAGCAAAAAATAATTTCTTTTATATCTGTGAATACGCACTATAATATCTCCATTCCTTCCAGTATGAACATATTTAGTTACATAGTTGCCAAAACATAGAAATAGGAAGAACTATACTAGATGCTTAAAGGGGAATTCAAACTTTTTTATATCTGCAAAATTGAGTGTGTGTGATGTAAACAGAGTGATTCAGAGTGGTTTGGTGTGAAATGGTTCAGATTTCTTTACAGTGGTGGTGATAGGAACCAGGGGTCGCCATGACTACAACACAAATATAGACATTTTGTTTACTATCCAAAACCACCAGTGAACCTACACGGGTCTTCTGAGTTTATATGGAATGTTGATGATGGAAAAATAGTGGAAAATGTGGGAAAAAAATGTTTTCTTTACATCACAACACCCTGCATGTGTCCCTCCACCATAAATGGATTTAAAAATGTATGTTTTAAGCCAAGATATTCATAAAACTATCGTAAAACAGTGTCTCAGGCATCAGGCTGTGAATTCATAACCATTTCATGTAGTAACTTTCTGTGAGAGAGCTTTCAGAGGTGGATGTCTGGTTCCTATCACCACCACTGTGAACAATTGTGACTTGGTAAGTTTATCTAGAACGGAGCATGTGGAATATACACAGCCTTATGAATGCATATAGCAAGATCTGTGCCTCTCACTCTCTCACTCTCTGCTGGATTCCTGCTCCATGTGATCTCTGCGTTGTTTAGCTCGGTGTTTTTCACATGGCCGTCTGTCAGCTGACTGAGCAATGTATGAGCGAACACTTGCACTCTTTCACTCCTTCACTCCCTGCTGTGCTAATATAGGGCTCTGTTCTAAATCCATTCCTCTTCCCTCGCCCCCTTGCGCCCTTCTGCATCTAGTAAGGGCTTGTTTAGTTTGGTTGAGTTACACTGATCCAGTCACTTTTTTCTGCCTTGTTAAAGAGCTGTTTGGGGTTTTTAGTCTTGCTGGTGATTAACGACTGTTCTGTGCTCAGATTAGTTTGTGTTTACTGTTTTTGTTTTTTTTTTCTTTTGTTACCGATGTTATCTGTGACGCTAACTGTACTGAATTTAATAGCAGTTCTGAACTCCCTGCTGTTTTCATGGCTGAAAGTGTGCATGCAAGAAACTGAATTTGCATAAAATAGAGCCAAATGGCACTAAAAGAAGAGCTAAGTGGCCCACAGTGTGCTGGACATGAGTCATTACAGTTTAATGATGCGTGATATTAACATTGACTCCTATAAAAGAAGAAATGTTCTTTGAAGGGTGCTGTTTTTCAGATTTTTACAGAGGAGAAACTTTTAGTTTCACCTTTTTGAAAGATTTTGAAGTAACCAGTCAGTTGTATAATGAATAATTTGGGCTAAAGAGCGATCCTCCTTGTATATATATCTGAACACCTGTCATCATAAACTGGTGACTAGGAGTGTCTAAATTTGGTTTTCTCGAAAATGAAAGCAAAACAACTTGCAAAAATATCCATACTTATTTGAAATTCAGCATATTACAATACATATAACATTTTCTACAATGTTGCGTAATTATTACTGACACTGACCGCTGTTTATACATACCTAGACAAGGTCTGGGCCCTTTTATGTATTTTAATTTGTCAAATTAAACTTGTCAAATTAAAATTCATTGTTTTTGTGATGTCCTACATCCACCTTGTCAGCTTACAGCAGTTTAGCCCCACCTATTAATACTGAAGTTATAAGGAGTATTTCAGCCTGTACTGCTTTCTAGGTAAGACATGATGCAGGACAGCCAATCAGAAGGTCTCATGACTTGCCAAGTCAGGTGGTGTGACCCCAGGAAGGCCATGAAAATGTGTTATTGTTATAATAATGTTTGTGTTTGAAAAACAAAAAATGAATAACCTTGAGTTACAGTACAGAATACAAACGTTAATACAGGTGTCCAGCATGTTTTCAGTAGTGAGCAAAAAAATTAAAATAATACATCTTTTGTTGATGTGCAGTTGTGGCAAAGGACATTTTGTAATTGGTAAAATTGGTGAGCTTGTTAAAAAATGTGTATTAAATGTATTTCAAGGACAATAAAGTTGTTTATATATTATTGTAAAAGCTTTGAAACGAATAACACATTGAATAGGTTCTTGCCGATATGACAATGCACATTTTGTCCTTTTAATAAGAGCTTTTCAGATTATCATTTTGAAAGCTTTATTCGTCTTTGACCCTATGTGTGTGTTTGTGTCTGTTGCAGTATGCCCGGGTGTGGATTCCTGACTCTGAAGAGGTTTGGAGGTCAGCTGAACTGACGAAGGATTACAAACAGGGAGATACTGTACTGCACCTACAGCTGGAGGATGGCACGGTAAGAGTTTGCAGCTCTACCACTCATGAAAACTCTCCTGTAACAGGGTCTGGTGGCATCTTCCTAGGAGAACATTTTAGTGATTTTAACATTGTAAGTGGTTTTAACTGTGGTTTTATATTGTGTGGCTGTTTTCAAGGATCTGGAGCACAAGTTGGACCCGAAGACGAAGAACTTGCCGCACCTGCGGAACCCTGACATCCTGGTGGGAGAGAATGACCTGACGGCTCTGAGTTACCTGCACGAGCCAGCCGTGCTGCACAACCTTAAAGTGCGCTTCATCGACTCCAAACTCATCTACACCTACTGTGGTAAACACACACTCTTTGTTTACTGTTTAATGCGGTTCAGTTCTGCATATATAGGGCCAGTCAAGTTCTTCCACACCAAACTCACCCAACCATGCCTTTATGGACCTTTCTATGTGCACTGCGGCTCAGTCACAAGGCTCTTCCCCAAACTGTTCCCACAAAGTTGGAAGCATAGAATTGTCCAAAGTGTCTTGGTCTGCTGAAGCATGAAGGTTTCCCTTCACTGGAACTAAGGGGTCTAGTCCGACGCTTGGAATTGTGTTTGGTGATATAAGGCTTGCATGCAGCTGCTCAGCCATGGAAACCCTGCCATGAAGCTCCTGGTACCGTTTTTGTGCTGATGTTAAAGCCAGAGGAGGTTTGATCTCTGCAGTTATTGATCAGCAGAGCGTTGGTGAGTTTTATGCTCTATGCTCCTCATCACTCAGCGACCCGCTCTGTAACTTTACGTGCTCTGACACTTCGTGGCTGAGTTGCTGCGGTTCCTAAACGCTTCTCAGTAATACCACTCACAGTTGATTGTGGATGTGTGTGTAAGTCTTATTATTATGAAAAATTGTACAAAAAGTGGTCTTTGTTGGAGAAATATTTCTCCAATTGCTGTGGAAATCCACTGATTGTGAAATTAAAATATGAGATGAAAAATTGGGCCACTCATGTCTCCGCTAAACATTAACATTAGCCTTTGGGCCCTGCTAGCTTGGCATCTATCTTTAGCCACTTTAGCATTTAGCAAAGTCTTTTGGCCAAAAATGTTAGTTTTGCTGTCAATAATAGTTTCTGGAGACATACAGAGCAAACGCATTGGCCTCACTGACCTTCAATAATCATTAGCAGAATTTGCATTGGTAGCATTAATCATTAGCAGCGTTAGCGTGTTGGTTGAACTACTTCTTTGAAGTGGAATTTCACCAATGCTTCAAAATTTCTGTATTAATAAATTGTTAAGGTGTAAGCAAAGAGTGGTTTGGTTTGAAATGCTCTGTTCTAGAGTTAGAACTGTTCACAGTGTTGGTGATGGAAACCAGACATCTGAAGAGTCCAATGTCTCTAAAAGCTCCCTCTCAAAAAAGTTAGAATATGAAATGCCTGATGAGCTGTTTTATGAAAGTATCAGAAACGTTTTGGCCCAAAACATAGTTATAATATCCATTTATGATGGAGGGGCACATGCAGGGTGCAAAACAGTCCCCTAAAAACTATTTTTTTCCGATTTATCACTGTTTTACTATCATCAACATTCCATATAAAACTCAGAAGAAACGTGTAGGTTCACTGGTGGTTTTGAATAGTAAAAAAAAGTGTTGTAGTCATGGCGACCCCTGTTTCTTATCACCATCACTGTAAAGAAAGTTGTAAAGTTTTCCTTTGTTGACATCTTAAGGAAATGTAAAAACGTGTAAGTAAAGTGTTTCTTCTCCGTCTCTTAATGCAGGTATTGTGTTGGTGGCCATTAACCCATATGAGACGCTGCCCATCTACGGCACAGACATCATCAATGCCTACAGCGGCCAGAACATGGGGGACATGGACCCCCACATATTCGCTGTGGCGGAGGAGGCCTACAAACAGATGGCCAGGTATGTATGTGTGTCTCTGAAGGTGTGGTTTGTAGGTCATAGCGCTCACTGCAGCAGAGCCAGAAATAGACCAGCCACGGCCTTTTCTTTCTCTCTCTCGCTCTCTCTCTCTCGCTCACTGTCTGTCTGTGTGATCTGTTCACAACAGAATTCTTCTAGGAGTCTCTAGATGACACGCACACCAACTCAAGCTCTCTCAGTGGTCAACATACTGATAATAATGTCAAGATATTGATGCCAACCAGTTGTCTTATTGTAAAGGATCCAAATCTCATTTTTCCCCATTCATTATTCATTTTTACCATCTATTTTTATCCCTAAGAATTAAAAAAAGCTATTTTTGTTATTGTATCTTTAAGACTGATATCAAAGTCTCAGTAGGACAGTCCATCCACTCAACAGCCATATTAGCAGTTATTTCCAGTCTTAGAAGACTGATCTCTTTGAATGGAGAGAGACCATCAAACCTGACACTGAAAGCCACTTTAACATTTCAAAAAACATATTTGGTATATTTGGGTAAAAATGGCTTTTTTTAAATAGTTTTTAGCGTTTGGCTCAAGTAATGCACAAAAAACGCTTTTAGCATGCTGCTTATGAACTTCATCCATATTTAACATTAACCAAAAGTCATTTTCCAGAGATGAGAGGAATCAGTCCATCATCGTGAGCGGAGAGTCCGGGGCAGGGAAGACAGTTTCGGCGAAATATGCTATGCGTTACTTCGCTACAGTCAGTGGCTCAGCCAGCGAGGCAAACGTGGAGGAAAAAGTGCTGGCCTCCAATCCCATCATGGAGGTGAGAATCAAACACTGACCTGTTTGGTATATGGAGTCCTGCTGATTTCCCATACACTGTTCTTTCTCTCCTGTTCATTTTCTACCACACAAGGCTTTTCTCCTAGGCTTCTCCTTTTTTCCTATAGCCTGCTCCTTTTCTCCTATAGGCTGTTTCTAAAGGCTGTTCGTTTTCTGTATTCTACATTTTTCTCTGGTATTCTCTTTTAGCCTCTTTTTCTTGTATAGACCACTACATTCATTCTATAGACTTCTTTTCTCCTATAAATTACTCCTTTTTTCGTGTATTTTTCTTGTATAGACTGTTCTTTCTCTTATATAGGCCACTCCTTTTCCCCTGTAGTCTGCTCCTTTACTTAAATAGGCTGCTCTTTTTCTCTTGTATCAATAATAATAATAGTAGTAATAATAATAATACAATTTATTTTATTTATATAGCACTTTTCATGCCGGAGACAGCTCAAAGTGCTTTCCAGACAGGTGATAAAGCATAACAGTAATATAAGGAAATATATGTTTAACAGTAACACATTAAATAGTAATAAAGCTTACCAGTAATGCAAGAAATTATAAGTATTTATTGAGAATAATATAAGAAAATGACGCAGATCAAATTAAAAGATAAATACCACGAGACGTAGAGTTTAATTAAATGCTAGGTTAGAGAGATACGTCTTGTGAGCACTGGGTTTGACTGTCTAATAAAAGGTGGGATTGAGTTCCACAGTTTAAAAGCAGAATAACTGAATGAGTCTCTCCACATTTTCTGTAATTTACAGAAGGTTTTTGAAGAAGGTCAGTATCTCCAGATCTAAGATCACCTCCTGGAACATAGACAGACACTCTGTAATGTAGGCGGTGCTTCAAGGTCATACAAGTTATAGAGGATGGATTGTTTTCTTAGGAAGTTAGTAAGAAGATCATTGCAATAATTAACTCTGCTTGTAACAAATGCCTGAACAAATTTCTCTGCGTTGCTGTGAGATAGAAAAGGCCGAACTTTAGTGACAATTCTCAAATAATAAAAAGCTACTTTACTGACTGTTTGCTGATAAAACAGAGCTCAGAGTCTAAGATTTCTTAGGTTTCATACTTCAGGTTTGGTATATGGACCTAAAGAACCAAGTTTCTCATAAAACAGCTTTTTCTGTACCAACGATCAGTATTTCAGTTTTTTTCGTGATTTACACTGAGAAATATCCGACACACAGCTGGTCAGTCTGTCTACAGAGTCTTGATCATCAGAAGGGATGGAAATGTATAACTGTGTGTCATCAGCATAGCTATGAAATTTATATTATGTTTTCTAATGGCATCACCTAGAGGTAACATGTACAAAGAGAAAAGCAAAGGCCCTAAGACTGAACCTTGAGGGACTCCACAAGAAATGCCAAATCTTTTTGATACTTCTCATATAACTTGTTTAATATTAGATACACATTTAATTGTTTGAAAACAACTTTTTCTAAGACTTTACTTAAAGAAGGCTGGTTTGAAATTGGTCTAATTTGAAATTGGTCTAATCTAAGATGTATTCTCATTTTCTCTAATGGACTCGGGGGTGTTTTTTCCCCCTCTATATGACTCTCCTATAGTCTCCAGCTTCTTTCCTGTAGACAGTTTTTTCTATCCATGTTTTTTCCTTTTCCCTATTACAAAACTCTCCTGCTCTCAGAGGCTGTCTGTTCTCCTATTGACTGTTTTTCTTCTGCTTACCAAAGACTAGCTTGCGCCTATAGACTGCTGTCTGTTTCTGTCCTCTTAATCAGTAGTTTAGCTGGACCTTTTAGAATGGGGTGGTCACATAAGATCCAGAGATTTTAATAAGTTCACACACTGCTAAGAACAAAACTAAATAAATTAGCATTACTGTATTAAAATGACAAAGTGATGTTTCTGTTCATTCATAACAAATAAATAAAACAATCGATACTATCCAAAAAAGTATTGCTTAAAGTAAACTGTATGACAAAACTGTGTTGATATTGCATATTGTAGTCATTCATGCATCACTTTTTTCAGTGCATAACATTAAGAAAAGCATTTCATATAGACAGACCATAGAGGTCATTCATTTAGAATGGATTCACTACTGGTAACATGAGTCTAATGATTAGAAAGCTCAGCACTGTGTAAGAGAACACATGCATGCCTTTAACCATAAAAATAAATTAGCCTGATGATTGAATATTATAGAATAATTTTTGATAGTTAACTCATCTTACCATCAGATAGTGACTTCATAATGTAGCTCGCAGAGCAGCAGTGCTGAAGGACCCAGCGCACATTCACTCCCTTGTTTGCTGAGTAAATTACAGCAAGATAAGCTAATTATTAAATGCAGCATCATCTGACACTCGTAACTGATTGGTAACTACCCTGATGACAGTTTTTTACCATAAAGCATCATAATTTATGCATAATTATTGATTGCTGACTCATGACAGTTGGCTGTTTCACTTTCCATAACTGGCACTCGCCACCCCTTGGCTACGCCTCTGCTCTAAATATTGTCCCCCAAGCTTTGACATACTGACCTTTCTCTTAAAATACTTCCACAGTCTCTTACAGTAACTGAGGAAGTTAATGGAGTAGTTAGAGAATGGGCAGTGCTCCCTCTGTGGCTTTACCGCAGGCTCTGTATGTTTATGTGGAGCGTTTTGAATGCTGGGTGTCTGGGTGGGACTGCCAGCCTCCTTAGGGCTGTTCCGCAGACAAGACAGAAAGGGCCAGAGGATCTGAGGCACAGCTACATGAGATTCATGTCCATTTCTGCAGGCTGTGTTTGTTTTAGTTGGGCAGCGACTTTCTTTCCTCACAATTCAGTGAAGCTCTGACCTATTAAGGCCACACAGTGCCTGGTATTTATCTCTCTGTGTGGTTTTTCGGATGTTATTCTGCTCTCCACAAAAAAACTGCAAGTTTTATTAAGAAAAGAAAAGAGTCCAAAGGTGATCTCCATTAATTGCATTTGTCCTATTTGCTTATTTGACCCTAAATATTTTTTTTTTCCATTTAAAAGCATTGCGTTTCTTTACAGCTATGTAAGTGGATGAAATAAGCTTCATCAGAACATATTTATTATTTGCAAAGATTCAGTAATGTATAAAGTAATGTAAACCTGGACATGAAAATCCCATGATTTCCATCATAAAGTCAACACAGTTTCATCACTAACATCCAGTGAGAGCAACAGCGTCTGCATGTTCCAACCAATGAGTGTATATATCATATATATCATATATATAGTCAATGAGAGTATATGTCACATATACTATATGTAGTCAACAAGTGTATATATCATATTTATCATATATACAGTCAGTGCTTCAACTCCTCCATGATAGTAGCCTCTCGCTCTTGTTCATACAGCTTGTGGATTCTTGTTTCCAAGGAGAGAGAGAATGAGAGAGAGAGAGAGAGTGTCAGTCTGTTAGCGGTGCCCGTGGCAAGGCAGCACATTTAATCAGATCAGCCGTGCGTCTGCCAGTCTTGCCAAGGTGCTGTTTGGCATGCGTGCAGTCTCATATGATTAGCGTGGCGGCTAACTGCTCAGATCGTCAAGAAGTAGAGTGTGAGTAATGCTTTGTGCTTTGGCTCAGTGCCAGCACATCTTACCTCATCCCTCCCTACGCTGTACAGGTGTGGCTGCTTACTGACTCTCCTGATTTCTCTGAGGAGATATTACAATACCGAAACCAGGGGCATGGATCCCCATAAGTAGGGGATTGCATCTGTCTTTTACTGTCAATTAATCATTTTGTGCATTGCCATAATACCCTATAACTGAATACATGGATGGCACGGCATGTTATGTTGTACAGCCTGTAATTTGCATTACCTCCAGTTCATTGTTGAGCTGTGTTTTGAATGCAAACAACAGGGGGTGATCTGTGATTTTCCTTCCCTATAATCCAGTGTTTTTTTGGGGTTTTTTTTTTATTTTTATTATTTTTAATAGACCTACACATTTCAGTGTTCAAAACACTGTGTTCCTCATACTGTACATCTCTATACACACTCTGTCTGAAACACTCTATTAGAGCTTCTATGTCTTTAAGCTCCGCCTCCTGATGTGCTCTGATTGGTCAGCTCACCCACTCTGTTCTGATTGGTCAACTGCCAGAGCGATTCTGTTCCTCCATGTTCCGCCCCTGTCCTGCAGTCTGTAGACAGACCCTTCTCTCCTGAGCAGCTGTAAACTCTGCTGTGGCTGTTTCTCCATCGGCATCAGTTCTGCTGTATCAGTTTGATCCAGACTGGATCCTGAAAGTCTGGTCAGCGTCTTCTCCACACGGCTACAACACTGAACACATTCTTCCTCCTCCAGTAGCTGCTGTGCACTGTATGAGGGTGTGCCGAGCTCGCCGGTAGGCGTGCAGTAAGGACTGTGTTACGGGATGATGTCTTAGGATGTAGTACACTGTCTTAGGATGTAGTAAGCCTAGGTGTTAACATAAAATGAAAATAGTGTATTATTGTCACTTTTGAGTGTCAATTTGATTAAATTAAATATTATTCAGTATTATCAAAGATCAATATGCCATTCAGATCTTGGTGAATGTGAGCTGTCTGATGTTGGCTGGAGTTCCAGGTTGTTCCTAAATAATAAAAATAAGAGCTCAACATTAAATGAGGAGGTGCTGACTGCACTCTCATCTGACATCAAACTCCATCTCCCATGATGCTTAGCTCTGCAGCAAAGCCACCTCAGCTTCCTGTCCTACTGCAGAGAAATTGAGACGCACAGCACCCACACAGAAGTGTTGCGTAGGATAAAAATAGCTGCTCCTCATGAGGTTCTTCACACATATATACTAACACATGCACTCGCTTTCACACCTCACACACTCTCACTGTAAAGCTTTGGCAGGCACCCACACTCCAATATAACACTCATTAAATTCTGCTGAAATTTTGAAAAATTGGTCGAATTGTCCTTTAAGGCTAGTCTTGGAATACACTCGGACATTTTCTCCTCTGAAAGTCCTTTATTGGTCTACGTCAAGGTTGAATCTGCATCTGCAAAACCTGCTTTATCAGAAGGCTGTTAAAATAAGTCAATACGGTCGTATGCAAAAGTTTTGACACCCCTGGTCAAACTAAATGTTTTATTGCTTTTCTAAGTAAAAGAGGTGGACGCATCCTCTAGAGAGAACATATTTAAATATGGCATTTTTCTGCTAAAGTTTACTGCAAAATATAACATTATATTAGAAGTTAATCTTGAAATACAAAGGGTGCCATAACATTTACACAGGCCACATTTTATGTAATATTTTTTTCCCAATATGTTAAATATAACCAGTAATTGTGCATTCAACACTGTGTTTTCTCTGTGGAGGATGTTGACATATTTTCAAAATCAACAGAACATAGAATATGACCAGGGGTGCCACAACTTTTGCATATGACTGTATCTGTTAAACTGATAGTTCAGTGAAAAATCAAATTTACATGATTTTACTATTACTTCAAATGTAGTTGATAAACCAACATATGTTTGGTATCTGAAGATCCCTCTTTAGTTTTAGCACTGGAGCTCTGAGGCTAATGTAGCTAATAACGAATGGAATCTTGTTAGCATCTCCAATTAGCATGGTGCTAGCTGCATGACAGAATCATCACACTATGCTCAAACTGTGTGGAGTTTTAAAAAATTTGATGCTGGACAAAATTCTGGCTACTGTTTTGAACTATGCAGCTTTGTGTTTGTACTTTTGTTCATTTTTATAGATCATTTTTCATTCATGGTGGTTTATAAGGCCAGTGTACATAGTCTTATTAATTGTGTGCCTGTGTCTCCTTTAGGCCATAGGAAACGCTAAGACCACGAGAAATGACAACAGCAGTCGCTTTGGGAAGTACATCGAGATCGGCTTCGATAAGAAGTATCATATCATTGGGGCGAACATGAGGACGTACCTGCTGGAGAAGTCTCGAGTTGTGTTTCAGGTGAGTCTTATACACACAAACACAAACGCACACATGTACGCAGAGCACATATTTTCTGGAATTTTAAAAAGTTGGTGGAATTCCTCTTAAACTGAAGCTGTGTTTCAGTTTTCAGTAGAGTTTGACCTTAATAATTACAACTGTTTGTTGTGAGTGATTTGGTTCTTTGGTGGTTGAATCCAGGTAAAGTGAGGTTGGTGGAATTGTGCTTTAAGCTCATCAGGAATGAGGATAATGGAGTTAAGCGTGTCGGCCCAGCATTATATAACCACACACATGCTGTTGTTGTGGGGGAATTCCACCACTCTTCGGGTGTGTGTGGTGTGAAAAAATGGCTTAATCATTAAATGAGGGGGATGAAAAGCTGAAAGTTAGCAGCAACGTTAGAAAAGTTAGGACCCAACTGCCTTCCTATGGAGTCTGATGCTGCATTCAGGTGCTTATTAAAAGGCTGTTTGTACCAGATGGTTAACTAGTAGATTCGACCTCACTCTATTCAGGTGCTCGTTTATAGATGTGCCCACGGTAAAAGAAAGCATGGTGGTCTGGAGATGCACATCTCCTGCATTTTCTTTGCTGTGTCAAAAAGCAGATACATCAAAAAAAAGCAGATTCAATGCAAGTTTAGCATTTTCACTCATGTAAAAGGTCATATAACACATTGCATCTTGTAAACTTGTCATCTAGAAACTTGAATTTACCAGCTGTTGAGCGCAATTTACAAGTGGGAAACTTGGTGTTTCCCAGTATCTGACACCACTTGAAGGCAGTATAACTCTTTTTCTCTGGCTTCTATGACATTTTTGTGCAGTGCATGCTGGGTATTGTAGTAAGAAATCACTGCTGGATGAAAACATGGCAAAGTCATGAGGTCAGTCAAAACGGGGACTGAGGTGTGAAATGCTGCACTGTAGGATACTACATAATATGACTAACATGTTATACACTAGGACAGGGGTCGCAACCCAAATGTTAAAAAGAGCCATTTTATCTTTCCAACAAAAATCAAACCACCTTGGGAGCCACAACATTTTATGTCAGTTGTAATGAAGTATAATGAATATAAATGAAAACGCTTTTCTCGCATCTCCGGCAGGAAACTTTTCCACAAAAGTAGAACAGTTTCTTGTAAAATGTTTCTCAACTTTTTACGAGGCTAAAGTCAGCTACACATTCGCCAACTTCTTGTTCAAATTTTTCCGTTCCACTTTAAATGATGTCTCTTGTGCCAGAATGTAACTGCTGCACCATTTAAGGTGGAATGGGACAATTTGGCGAATGAGAAGCTGGAGTACTTATAAACACACACAAGTCCATTCGTCTCAAAATTATCGATGTTCGTCTTAAATCTCTCTCTTTCTCTTTTTGTTAGATACTAGCTAGGCCAGATTGTTATTTGCGTTGCTGTGTGACCAGCAGTTTGCACACAAATCTTCAGGGTTAAAGGTTGAATTAGCCGTTATACATTAACTCCAGCGTTTGTTTAAACTGTGTTGAACGATCAGCAGAGCTTTATTTTACTGCAAAGGAGGATTATTTTATTTTTACCTAGCGGCTGTGGAGCCGCAACAGGGCAGTAAAAGAGCCGCATGCAGGTCCAGAACCACATGTTGCCGACCGTTGCCTTAGGGCTTGTGTGAAACTACTATATTAGAAAACAGATGTGTTCTGGAAATCTATGAAAAGTATGTTGTCAGTAGTTGGTAAGAAGCGCTGGGGCGGCAGATGTTGTGATTTGATGTGTGAGATGTGCATTACAGGAGAGTTTTTGCTGCTTTTCTGTTAGTTTCAGTCTCAGGATCTCTACACACAGAAGTACACAGACCGGCTGATGTAAACTGCATGCTAAAATCAGCAGCTCTCAGAAACTCACTTCTCACTAAGAATATAAACTGGCTCTGGTCATCTACACTTCCTTTTCCTTGGTTTTCTCAGTCAGACAGAAAACAAATGATTGATTAACAAGCTCAATTCTAGTAGTGGGCAGATGTATCTTTATAGATATACCTTTCAGACAGTGATGTAGGCAGAAATATTCATGCTGTCCTGCTTTATGAGTTATGAGTGCTGTTGTGTTACTTTTGTACCCTGATAAGCCTCCAGCAGTCAAACGTGTGTCCTTTTCCCACACTGAGTCTGTTCCATCTTCTTTTTCTTCTCTCTTTCTTGATCTCTTCATCTTTTCCTCCTCTTTCTCCCTCCAGGCGGACGAGGAGAGGAATTATCATATCTTCTACCAACTCTGTGCCTCCTCCCATCTCCCAGAGTTCAAGGCCCTGAAGCTCAGTGAGTTCAGCACTGCAGCATGTACAAAAATTCTCATTCACCTCTGCGAAAAAAGACTTCCTATTAGATGATTCCTGCAGTTTTTCCAGTCAAACTGAAGGCTAAGGAGACCACCGCTGCACAGAATAGATATGAAACAGTGATAAGGCAAACAACATTATTAATAAGCATAAAAAATACTTCATTCTGTTTGCGATGTTCCCTGTCCTTTGTCTAGTGATGGTTACGGTGGAAGGGGGTGATATATAAACTACATTTTTAGCAGTGTGTCATAGAACTACAGGGTTTTGGCCAAGTGTGTGAAAATTTAGGCATCCAGTTAGCGCCATGCTAATTGGTGGGGTACAAGCTTCCATTCTTGATAAGCTACGTTTGCCTCATAGCTCCAGTGCTAAAACCAAAGATTTTGGCAAGCTTGACACCAAGCATGCCTTGGATAAGTAGATACTTTATTAATATTTGAGGGGAGTTTTTAGATTGACTAAAAAAAAATCTTTCCAGTTCAATGTCATCTCATAATAACTCATAGAAACGTCCATAAACGGCTTAAATGTACACAAATATAGTCAAAGTATTAGTGTCTTGGCAGATTGACTACATTTTGGATAAGACAAAATTTGCTTTAGTGTGTTCTCTTGAGAGTTAACTGACATGTTAGCTATGTTTCCATTAATTGTGCTGACGGGAAATAAGAAATATATAAAAATATATTTAAAAAATAATAACATAAAAAAAAATTGTTGAGTGTAGAGACATGACCAAAAACATTCCGTGGAGGCTAGCATAAGATTAGCATGACTACCTTATGTCGCCTTAGCAAACTCTTAACAAGGTAATAATTCCAAGAATAGTTTACGTTCTGGTGCGCGAATGTAATAGTGCTTGGTCACTTTATCATCACCTGGAAAGTAAATAGTTTCTTAAAGGGGAATTCCACTGATTTTACAAAACCTCTTCATAATTCAGTGTTTGAGATGTAAACAGAGTGATTCAGAGTGGTTTTGTGTGAAATGGTTCAGATTTCTTTACAGTGGTGGTGATAGGAACCAGGGGTCCCCATGACTACAACATAAATATAGACATTTTATTTACTATCCAAAACCACCAGTGAACCTACATGAGTCTTCTGAGTTTTATATGGAATGTTGATGATGGGAAAAAATGGTCAATCTGAAAAAATATTTATTCATATTTATTATTAACTATAAAATAAATTGATTACAGTGTGCTTTAGACCAAATACTTTATCACAAAACTACTGTAAAACCAAGTCTCAGACATCAGGCAGTGTATTCTTAACCATTTCATGTAATAACTTTCTGTGAGGGAGGTGGACGTCTGATTCTTATCACCACCACCTTACAAAAAAAAAGTTTCTCTAAAATGAATTTTTGAAAATCGGTGGAGTTCCCCCTTGAGTTGTCTTTGCTTTACCAAAGACAGAGGAGAGCACCCTGGAATCTATAAAAACCATACAACTGGAACCTGCACTACTAATAAAAGGTACAGGTCCAGTTTTTTGGTACTGGAACTTCGGGAAAACACCCAGTGAGAGTGCTGTTTACATCCAGCATAAATGATACATTCTTTGCAGGTTAATATTTGATAGACCCACAGTAAAGTGAGCAAAGCACCTTCCTGTTTAAACACCTTGCTGTAGGGTCTCTGCAGGGTCTATTTGGCAGAAGTGCTAAACGTAAGTCAGTGAATTCCTCCTGAGTGAGTTCGATTGAGGTTATTGTTAATATTGACAGACTGCTTATGACAGGACTGTGCAGGTCATTGCTCTGTTTGTGATTAGATGAGTAGAGTGGTATTGAGCTCAGCGTGGAGACCGAGAACAGATACTTTCCAACCTGTGCACACTCACACGTTCACCTGTACTGTAATATTACTCATACAGAAACAGTCCCCTGCACCAGGTCCGGCATCAGACGGGTCATTTAGTGGAGCAGTACCCCACCAACCAACCATAATGCTCATAGTGATGTGGGCATAGTGATAGGTGACAAAAAAAAAGCAATTAAAATGAAAATTTTGAGTACGATGCTGCACTGGTTGCCGGTATAAAAGGCTTTATTGATTAACATGGGAGGGTTTGCATACATCAGTTTATCTTTGCTGCGTTTTAGGAACGTATTGTATGTCGTGTTGTATGTAAGAAGACTTTGAGGGTTTGCCGACCCCCCCACCTCACCACCACTCATAATTTAGTTGTGGTGCAGAGCCTGACCGGCACACTAGGGCACATACATGCATGGTATTGTACTGTAACACAAACACACTGTATGGTCACATATCATTGCTTAGTGTCCGTCTCTCTTACAAACACACACTGTTGGCTCAGTGCTCTCCTGGATCAGCTGCCAGCTCAGCTGACTTCCTGCCCAACTGACGCCCCATTAATGGGGGTGGTGTGCGTGTGGGTGCACGTGTGCATGCCACAATGCCACACAATCGGGCTCCTGTTGCCAAGCAACAGGCCACCTCTCCTTTAATCTCTGAAGATGCTTCTATATTAGAGATTCTGGACTGGACTCATTTGTGTGATGTAACTATGCACAGTGTGTTCTCGCGCATATCAAAACAGAGAAATTCATTCATTTACTCATTACTTGCATCCAGCCAGTTAAGTTCATTAGGAGTACAGGGGAAACGAGGTTGCACTGAGAGCAGAATTAGTGAAACAGTACAAAATACTCTGCGTATGAGTGGCAAAGAGATACTAGTGATAAGCTAATGGTAGAAAGATCATTTGCAATTATTATGTAAGCAAGGACAGTGTTCTTTTTACGGTATCAGTTTGATGAAAAATCATATCTCCACAATTTTCTGCTTACCCTGAATGTAGTTGATCAGCCAAGGCAGGTTTGGTGTCTGAAGTTATTTCTTTAATCTGCATTGGAGCTACAATGCTAATGTAGCTAAAACGTAAACACAAATCCGCACAGACCAGCAGACCTGGTCTAAGTTAGTCTAAGCTGGTGTATGCTGGTCTAGTGCTGGTTTGGTTCAGGTTTAGCTGGTCACCCCAGCATGGTCATGTTGGTTGACCAGCATACCGGCATCAGAACACAACATATGTTGGTTTTGGTGCTGATTAGCATATCTACCTTTATTGCTGCTGACCAGCAGACCAGCATTCAAAACACAACATATGCTGTTTTTGTTGGTGTCCAGTCATGCTGGTCAATGCTGGGTTTTCTAGCAGGGATAGTCTTGTTAATGTGGTTTCTGATACTGTAAGAAAAAAATGAGTTTTGAAGCGGGTGCACAATGCTAATTGGTGTATGTAAGCTTCCATTACTTGTTAGCTACATTAGCTTCATATATCCAGTGCAAAACTATAAAACTGAACTTCAGACACCAAAAATGGCTTGGCTAATCAAATCAAATCTCGCTTATTGTCACATCACGTTCACACAAGTGCGAAGGTGAGTGAAAATATTAGGTATGTAGCTCCCTTGTAGAAAAAAAGTATATAAAAATATATACACATTAGACTTTGAATATACACATTAATATACACCAGTATTGCACCATTCCCAGTGTACAGTTTTTGTAATATAGGTTATGAAATAAAAGCTATGATATGTACAGTTGTACACATTTCCATATATGCAATTAGTGAGTCTAAGTTAGTTAAATAAGATGCAGGGTACAGGGGATAGAGTATTATATATTTATATATTTATATATATATATATATATATATATATTCCAGATTATACCAGATATGCATAGATACAATCAAGATACTGTCCTTTTTTTTGTTTGTTTTTAAACCCCAGGCAGCGCTGATGATTTCCACTACACCAAGCAGGGCCGGAACCCAGTGATTGATGGAGTGGACGATGCGAACGAAATGTCCACCACCAGGAACGCCTTCATACTACTGGGTAAGACCTGCTGTGGTGTGGAATTGTTTTGGTTTAGTATTTGTAGTGAGGAATTGTCTGGTTTATGCATGTCTGTGTGAGATGTCAAATTGTTGTGTATTTTGTAGGACTGCACGATTATTTATGTGATTTATCGATTAACCTATCAACTACTGTCAGTTAAGCAATTAATGCAATGTTATGCCTTCTTCAGTTCTGCTCTCTTTGTTACCACTATTCATTCCATTTCTTCAACAGGACATTTCTTCTTTTATGTTGCAGTTAAACAATAGACACCATATCGCCACCTACACTTCCTGTAGTGTATTACAGTCTGTCAGAATGACTGTGTGGATCATATGAACATTATAGTGTATTATGCAGTTTTAAGTAAACAATGTATTGCCAATGAAAGTCCAGATCAACAATTTTGTGTAAGTGATGCTGTCAATTTTGTTGCATAAATGTTGCTCTTCTATCTGCTGTACTCCACGTGAAGCATTTTGGTGTGGAAGGTGTTTGTAATAATTGTGATATTGTTCTCTGCAGGTATTAATGAGTCATATCAGATGGGGCTGTTCCAGGTGCTGGCAGCCATCCTGCACCTTGGCAACGTGGACGTGAAGGACAGAGACGCTGACAGCAGTGTCATACCGGTAAACACACAAACACTCCAAACAATGAAATCACATGCTAGGTTAAAACTGAGAAGAGTTGTTATTAATATAAACATAATTTCACAAAGTTACCTTACAAATTCTGTTTCCATTTCATTTGGTTTAAGTCGGAACATCTGATTTAACAATCTTTTTATGTCCAAACGCAACAAAAACGTAGAAAAATGTAAAGAATCATTCTTTTCTAATTCTTGACTTTTCATCAAATCCAAATCATAAGAAAATATCTCCTTTTCCTCTTACAAACACAAATGGATTGAAATATTAGAATCTGCTCTTTTCACACAATTTCTCTGTTTGTTTAAGTGAGCTATGAGTCAGAAATAATTCTAAGAGTTAAGTATGTCAGTGACTGTAGCTCTAGTTCAGGGGTCAGCAACACGTGGCTCCAGAGCCACGTGTGGCACTTTTACTGTCCTGTTGCTGCTTCATGGCAGAATTAGATTTTCAGGTAAAATACAATAATCCTCCTTTCCAGCAAAATAAAGCTCTGCTGATCGTTCTAATACAGTTTTAACAGTGAATGGTCTTAAACACTGGAGTTAACGTAGAACTGCTAATTCACCCTTTAACCCTGAAGATCAGCGCAGACTGCTGGTCACCATAGAAACACAGATAATAATCTCGCCTAGCTAGTAGCTAACGAAAAGGGAAAGGGAAAGATTTAAGACCAACATCAATAATTTGGAGACAAATGGACTTGGATTTGCATTTTTAATCACTCCAGCTGGTTTCCTGATACGTTTTATCTGCAACAAGAAACTGTCAAACACTAAAAAGTCGTGAAGCTGAAGTCAGCTTCTCATTCGTCAGCTTCTTGTTCAAATTTTTACGTTCACTTTAAAGGGTGCAGCAGTTACATTATGGCGCCTCAGGCACCATTTAAGGTGGAACGGAAACATTCGAACAAGAAGCTGGTAAATGAGAAGCTGAATTCAGCCTCATAAAAAGTCAACCGTTGAGAGACATTTTACAAGAAACTACTCCAGCTTTCAGGAAAAGTTTCCTGTCAGAGGTGTGAGAAAATTGGCTATAGTCTGCATTTTCATTTATATTACATTTTTTATCCTAAACTAGTACATCAGCACATACTGAGACATATTTACAGCAAATATGGTAAAATAGACTTAAAATGTTGTTCCTCCCAAGGTGGTTTGATTTTTGTTGAAAGGATTAAATGGCTCTTCTTAACATTTGGATTGCCGACTGCTGCTCTAGTCATTTCCAGGAATCTTCATCTGCTCTATTTTTGATGTTATTAATGTCTTGTTTGATTGCTTCTTTGTCTATTTTCCCCTCCCCTCCTCTTCTCTGTAGCCCAATAACAGCCACCTGATGGTGTTCTGTGAGCTGATGGGCGTTGCCTATCAGGATATGTCCCACTGGCTGTGCCATAAGAAGCTGAAGACGGCGGCGGAGACCTACATCAAACCCATCCCCAAACTGCAGGCCATCAACGCCCGGGACGCTCTCGCCAAACACATCTACGCCAAACTCTTCAACTGGATCGTCGACCACGTCAACAAAGCGCTGCACTCCACCGTCAAACAGCACTCCTTCATCGGTGTGCTGGACATTTACGGGTGTGTGCGTTATTAAAGGAAAACATTGTGGCTAAACTGTCTTTGTAGATTCTCATTACTATATTATTGAAATGACACTGACATATAATAATGGATGTAGTTAATAAAAATATTGTTAATAAAAATACTGTCACATTTTTCAGGTTTGAAACCTTCGAGATCAACAGCTTTGAGCAGTTTTGTATCAATTACGCCAACGAGAAATTACAGCAGCAGTTTAACATGGTTGGTTTCCTTTTTAGATTAACCAGTTCATTCATTCATTTATTTACTCTCGCATTTATTTATTTATTTATTATCACCTTTAAATAGCTAAATAATTTGATTAGCATTTGATTAAACCTCTCTTTTTCTACTCTATCTCTTTTTTTTCATTTATCTTCTCTTCTATTTTCTTTTTGTTTTCATTTTGTTTCTGTCCTCTCTTCTCCGTCTCTCTCCTCTGCAGCATGTGTTTAAGCTGGAGCAGGAGGAGTATATGAAGGAGCAGATTCCGTGGACTCTGATTGATTTCTATGATAATCAACCCTGCATTAACCTGATCGAGGCTAAGATGGGCATCCTGGACCTGTTAGATGAGGAGTGCAAGGTCTGATCCACTCACAGGCCAAATGTGTATCTTTGACTCCTATTTTGATGGGGCTGCAAATGAAGATGAACTGTAATTCATCTAGTGATTAGTGTTCAGTTTATCTGCTAATTAACTATTTCTTGCTTTTTTTGGTTCCTCTCAATTTGCTGCCACTTTCGTTCAGGGTCAGGCCTGCGCAGCAAACCCTTTTTTTATGGTGCAGCAAAACAATAGAAGCCAAATCGCCCCCTACACTTCCTGTAGTGCATTAACAGTCTGTCAGAATGACCACATGGACATTAAAGAACATTTTGTCAGTAACTGACAATCTCTCTCTCTCTCTCTCTCTCTCTCTCTCTCTCTCTCTCTCTCCTCCCTCTCCCTCCCTCTCCCTCTCTGTGTGTAGATGCCTAAAGGTTCTGATGACTCTTGGGCTCAGAAGCTCTATAACACTCACCTGAAGACGTGTTCGCTGTTTGAGAAGCCACGCATGTCCAATAAAGCCTTCATCATCCAGCACTTTGCAGACAAGGTGCACACACTTACGCATATCCATACAGACACCAACATCTTTTTCAGTATCAGGAACAGAGTTACAATGTACTATACAATTTGTACAGTATTATGCAGTTTTTAATAATACCGCCTTATTATACATAGATTCTAAAATTAATAAATTATTGTTAAAATAATAAATTATCATGACTTAATAATCAATTCATCGCACCAGTAATGAAAGGTTTAGGTACCTTTTTGTTCGTATTTTATTTTAGAAACTATTATTCTGTTGTGTGTGCATGTGTTGGGGCTGCACACTATTGTTACTGCAATATTGCCCTGATAGGGGAATTCCACCAGTTTTTCTAAATTTCTAAATAATTAATTCTTTGAGAAGTAAACAAAGTCATTCATCTCTTTACAGTGGTGGTGATAGGAACCAGTGGTCACCATGACTGCAACACAAATATAGACATCTTTTTACTATCCAAAACCACCAGTGAACCTACATAGACATAAATCTGTGAAAATATGTTTTCTTCGGGGGCTGTTTTGCCTCACAGTGCCCTGTGTGAATCCCTCCACTGTGAATGGATTAAAACACATTTTAAGTCAAAACATTAACACAAAACCATAATAACTTTCTGTGAGGGAGCTTTAAGAGGTGGACGTCTGGTTCCAATCACCACTACTGTGAACAATTCTAACTCAGTAAGTTTCTCTAGAACAGAGCATTTCACACCAAACCACTCTGAATGACTCTGTTTACATCTTAACCATTTAATTATGTAGATTTTTGGGAAAAAGTGGTGGCGTTCCCTGTTAATATCATAATAATGTTTCTCTCTCTCACCACCCCAACTCATGGAGAGAGAACATCCAGCTAGCTCCGAGGCCCATTCCTGATACAATGTTTCACTCAGAAATGTCTCACAGTATAGAAGGAGGGACAGTAATGATTTCCCATTTACGCTGACTAAGACATTAGAAAGCATGTAGTAATCACTATATGTAAGCAATATAATCACAAGACTAATATTTTGTCCATATCAGGCAGCCCCAGTGCATGTTTGTACGAATCGTCACCTGAAGTAAAAGTAAAGCTGACTGCACTCGAAGGCTGTAACTCTCTCTGATGGTCTAATCAGTGCTGATGTCCACTGATGAAATCTTGGCTGCAGCTGTAATGTTCAGTCCACTTTTAGCTTTAGTGTCATGTTTCAGCTTGTAAGGGTTACACTGGAGCTAGACGGACTTCAGGACAACACGCAGACTATCTCTGAGTGCATTAGTTTAGCATGTCAAGTCTTTATTTCAAATTGTGATCAATACTCGGACCGCAGTCTCTGGAGCGTCCTAATGGCTGTAAGGATATACTCAATTGGGCTAAATATAAACTAGAAACGTGAATAAATATAAAATGGGTTTATAATCAGAATGAATGAAAATGATCTTAATGACGAGACAGAAACACTAGCAGACGTTTTATTTACTCTGAATCATTCTTCTTCATTCTGTCCCATCCTTTTCTTTCTTTGTCTTCCCCTTTGTCTTCCTTTCTTTTCCTTCTCTCTTCATCTTTCTCGCTCACACTCTCTTTCAGGTGGAGTATCAGTGCGAAGGCTTTTTGGAGAAAAACAAAGACACAGTAAATGAAGAACAGATTCACGTGCTGAAGGCCAGTAAGGTCAGTGAGGTCGCTGCTCCATTTACTGTGTTACCAGTGATCAATACCAGAGTCTTGTCCTAAATCACACTCAAAACCTGGGCCATGTCCCATATCACACACAATACCAGGATCTTGCCTTACATCACATTCAATACTTGGACCTCGTCCCGAATCCTACTCAAAATCAGTCTCAAATTACAATTAAAACCAGGACTTTATCCCAAGTCCCACTCATTACCAAGGCCTTGTCCCAAATCACATGCAGTACCCAGACTGTGTCTTAAATCATACACATAATACTAAGGTTTTGTCCCAAATTGCACTCAAGACCAGGGCCTCCGAATTTCACTCAAGAACCCAGACAGACATAACACCCGGGATTTCTCCCAAATCACACGTAGTAGCAGTGCCTTTTTTGGAATCTCACTCAATACCTGGGCCTTGTCCCAAATCAAACTCAGGACACAGGCTATGCCTCAAATCGTACACATAATACCAAGGTTTTGTCCCAAATCACATTCAGGACCAGGGCCTCGGAATCGCGCTCAAGACCCAGACCCACATAACACCAGGGCCTTGTCCCAAATCAAGCACAGTACCAGCACCTTGTTCCGAATCACACTCAATACCTGGGCCTTAGCCCAAATCAAACTGTAGACTCAGACTGTGCCCCAAATCACACACATGATACCAGGGTCTTGTCCCAAATCACACTCAATACCAGACCTCTATACTGAGTCACACTCAATGCAAGGGGCTAGTCGCAAAAACACTTAAGAGCAGGGCCTTGTCCCAAATCACACTCAAGACTCAGACTTTGTCCTGAATCGCACTCAAACCTCAGACTTTGTCCCAAATCCTGCACAAAATACCAGGGTCTTATCACAAATCACACATACCAAGCCCTTGTCCTGAGTCATACACAATACTTTGACCTTTTGCCAAATTACGTCCAATATCATCAGGGCGCTGTCCCAAATTACAGACCCCATACTCCCTACAGAGCCTCCCTTCACGTTTAAAATACCCAGCTGAGTAGTACAACAGACTTACTATTTAGCTGGTGAATGAATTTCTCCTCTGTGTGTTTTTCTACACACAAAAAAACACCAATAGAATCGCTCACACAACTCACCTCTTGTAAAGCTCTGCTCAGAAGGCTAAAGGAAACACTTGTGCCATGGGGTGTGTGTGAGTGAGTAATAAGAAAACCTCCCGGAGAGAGGCCCAGAGAGAGTTTTCTGGAATAGTGAGGATTTTTTTCCAATGATTTGACCTTAACTTAGAAATCTAGTAAGGTCAAGGGCAACGGCACCATCTGCTGTCTGATCTGCATCACTGCGGTACATAGTATTATTGTGACTGTAAAAGCTGGGGTGGGCTTTTGCCTTTAGGATTCCTGATGCTAATATGTTCCAGCATACACATACAGAAGTAAACTCCTCAAAAAAAGAATATAAATCATACTTCACCATCATTTGTCTTTGCATATAAAATTCCACTGACTGTCCTCTATTGTAAACATTGGATTCAACCATGATTTAGCAGTTTCTGTCACATTTAACTGCTTCTTAGCCCATTTCCTTCATTCCTTCAAGTTGAATGAAACCAGTTAAGCTGCTTGTTACTACATGAAGTCATTAATTTGGGTGACCTGGTGAGCCATTTTTTTGACCTTTGTACACCAACCTCACATTTTCCAGCAGCTAAGAAGCAGTCAGAAATGAAACAGCTACAAACATAACCTCCACAAACACAAAGCTAACGGCTAGCACTAGATTCAAAATTAACTGCTAGCATTACAGTATTTTCTGTTTGGTGTGTTAGTGAGATGTGTTTTGAGTGCTGTGTGTGGAGATTTAGGATTGAACCATCACTAGGCCAGTCCCGACAGAGCCTGCTGAATGCCTGCAGGGTGAAAAACGACATTCCACTCTGTTTTCTCAGCATAGGGTTTGAAATGCTCATGTAGTGAAGCCTTGCAAAACCAAGCCCCTTTTTATTACAGCCACAACCAGCAGTGTGCAGACCAAGCACCGGGCTGGGCAAAGCCTCGGCTTGGGCAAATGTTAGCCAACTAGCTAATATAGGTCACATTAACGTTGAGTAAAACACTCAAGGTTAGGGTTATACTCATTTACTTTCCCAACAATCTTAGCTTCTGGAAATCGCAAACTTTGTAACTCAAGCTGTTTTAAATATATACTTTGTAAACCTTGGTGTAAATGTGGTGCTCTGCCATTCATTTGTTGTTGTTGTTGCTAGCTGTGTAGCCCTTAGCATGCAAACTAGCAAATTAGCATAATATAGTAACAAACGTAAAACAGTTTAGAGACTATCTGAAGGAAAAATAGTGAAGAAGAGTTGCTCATTGAGGAGATTTTGCATAAAAGGCAGATTTGTTTTGTAATGTTGTTAATTTTGTAAAGCTCATATATGGCTTAAAACAAGCTGCCCATCACTGAATATAAATGATAGAGGCAACATTTGGGAACATAGCAGTAAATAGACCCCTGGGAACATAGGACCCTTAATTGAAACAAAGGGCTGACGCCATCTTTAGGGTTAGCCTTAGCTGAAACAAGAGGTTTTAAGAGATTTTATTGATTTTAACTTCAGCATGCCTCTGAAACTGTTTATCTGTGCTAGCTAACGTTAGGGTGCTGTCTCATTAGCACTTTAGCTAGCTAGCTAACTAGCTTATGTGTTAGTAATTCCCAGTCCAGACCAACTTGCATTTCAAGCCCCAGCCTGGCAGAAGTTAGTATTACTAGCTAGCTAGCAAGCTAGTTAGCATAGACCCGAAGCTAGACTTTTTCACAACTTGCTAGCAACACATTTGTTTTATTATTTAGGAGAATCTTTACCAGGAAGAGAGGAGGCTATGCTAAGTTCAACAGAACCCCATAATAAACGTGAAGTGTTATTTGTCTTACTTATGTGATGAATCTCTCAACATTTGTCACGTTTTTCTCCCTCACAGTTTTGAAGTGTGAGGGTAAGAGTGAATAACGCTCAACATCATGCTAATTCTTCAGCTTGGAATACTATTAATGCCTAAACAGTAGAATCATGGGAAGAATTAGGGTGCCTTAATATTAAAAAGCTATTAACACTGTCTAGCAGCAAAAGGATTTTCGATGCTTATCTCAATTCTAGATGCTTATCCTGGGTTAGCTTTTTACCAGCTAATTAATCTTAGCCAGTTAATAAAACCGATCCAAGTGCAGCAGCCACTGTGCAGTATTGTTCTGCTGGGTTCACGCTAACTGTTCTCATTTCATTTGTTCAGTGTGTGGGACGTTCAGTTCTGCTCCTGGAGTTCCCACCCTATTCTTATACCAAATGTAGTCCATCAGCCAAGACATATTTGGTATCTAAAGTTTGGTTCTTTCGTTTTTGGCACTGGCACTTTGATGCTAATATAGGTAGTGAAAGTTCATTAGCATCAGTTAACATAGTGCAAACTGCATGCCTCAATCACCTCAAACCATGTGGAGTTCTTTATTAATCTTGAGACTTGATTATGTGGTTTCTGACACTACGAGACACTGTTATCTATAAATATGGACTAAAATACACAGTTTCGGGCACATATGTGATAATTTAGACATGCAGTTTGAGTGAAGGGACAGTATGAGACTGAGCGTCCCTCTCCAGGAGCAGAGCGCTCCCTTCTGCTGTATTCATCACATCTACATCAGAGGTTTAGTGTTTTCTCCAATTTTTCACACCCCAATCCACTAATCAGCTTTTATTAAGCTTTACATTAGTTGACTGGGGACATGTGAGAGCAGAACAACACTAAACTCCCACTAAACTCTGCTGTGCTGTAGAGTTTGAGACCCCTGATCTCCATCCTGTCAGCCCACCACCAGTCATACTGCAGAATACTCACTTAATCTTCCAGCAAGTCAACACCAAGTGGCCTCTCTCAGATTTATATATTTACTTTTTTATATATTAATTTGGTCCTATTATTCTAATTATTTTCTCATAGCTTCATATAATTAATGTGTTTATTATTATTAGTAGTAGTAGTGATGGTAGTAGTAATGTTAGTATAATAAGGCATTATTAATAACATTAATAATAATAATACAAATCTCAAGTATTTATAAATAAGTAACAGTTTATTAGTATTATATTTATTCCATTGTGTGTTTTTTATAGTTTGTAGTATCTGCCCCCTGTCCTTACAGTTCTTAATTTTATTGTTTTTAAAATGTTTATTCTTGCATTTTATATTACTGTGTTATTATTTTGTTATATTGTTTTATTTTTATTTATTTATTTATTTATTTATTATTATTTATTTATTGTTTTTTATTTTCTTGCTAACAATCACCTCTTTTCATTATTTAGAAAAAAAACTAAATCAGGCCTTGCACAGAATTAAGAGTTAACTCTAAAGACCTGAAGACTCTGGCTTCTCCATCTTAAAGCCGGCGTGTGCTTACAGCCTCTCTGCTGGTGGCTCGGTGGTGGTGGCTATAGCTGCTCTTGCTAAGAGAAAGCAGCGGTTTACATTCATCTTCTGTCTGTTTAATGGTGCTGTGGATGATGTGTTTTTCTGTTTTTGATCTCCTCTTGTCTGTTTGTTTGTTTTTCCCATCACGTGTTGTCTATGTGTCGTGTGTTACCATGACAACCCGTACCACTGCAGAAGGTAAAAGTGAGCGCTCTTCTGAAATGCCTCGCTGGTATTTCTCTCTCCTCTCTCCCTCTGTCATCCACTCTGACCCTGTGTTTCTCTCTGCTGCAGTTTCTCTAGAGATGCTACAATAGGATGCATGCACACAGAGTGGAGTTCTTTTTTTGGGGGCGGGGGGGGTTGCTGCTTCAGCATCTTAGGCTTCCTGTTTATGGCTGCTGCTGAGAGACACATTTCTCTGAGTCTTATCGATCTTTTCTGCAGGTCTGTAGCGCTGCAGCCCTGGGGGACCTGCTCTGACCACAGCTAACACAGACTGCCCCTCACTGCTCACACTGCGTCATCAATTACATTTACATTCAAGTTGTGTTCTGTATCGACATGTTCGAGCGTGCACTTCTTGTTTTCTGCAGGTGTGGGTGCACAGCCACAATCAGCTAGGGTCAGAATCAGCCGATGTATAGATAGATAGAAAGACAGACAGACAGATCACTTTATTCATTTCAGAAGGAAGGTCGTCTATTACAGTGGCACAAAGGGCAGTAAAGAGCAGAACAAGAACATGCTATTATACAGATGCATAAATAGGAGAAGTAAAGATATATAATAAAATATACTAAGGCAGCCGTAAAAATATCATGTGCAGTACAAAAATAAGTAAGTAAATATTATGCATGTGACAGTGCTGTGGTGCATGTCACGTCTAGTGAATGAACTGAGTCACTAAAAACTGTAATTGATAACATGCTAATAGTTGTGCAATATGCATGGGTGTATAAACAAATGGCAGTACAATATGCAACATTTATGGACGTATAACACACATATTCACCCCTAAAATGTGGCTCAGCAGTTGATTTAGATTTTATTCAGTCTGTGTTATGAATTTATGATGTAAATAATGGGTGGATGCACATCAGTGCATAACAGCTATCCACCAGTTTTATGTTGTGCTATTGGATTTATTGCTTGTTACTTTAAAAAAAATCAGTTACTTTAAAGAAACATCAGTTGAATCGTACAGCAAACTGTAGTGTGTTGATTTAAAGCACTTGATTTCATAATCTGTTTTATTTAAAATATCTAAATATTTGGTAATGTCTGTAAAAATGTAATTTAGTGAGAATTAAGCCCTGCTGGTGCTGGATTAGTTGTGTCTGGGAAGATGCTGAAATTTGAGTGATTACCGACAGGATCTGTGAAGTTAATCTTAGATTATTAATGTTTAATTTTAGATAACAAATCTGCAATGTCCATAGTTTTCACAGGGCTCCTAAGTAAAAATGACCTTCTATGACTGGCCAAACTCAGAGCCTCCTCAGTAATAGCATTGCTGTTTAAATTGACATCTCAGTAGTGTAATAACAAAACTGAGTAATAGAAAATAATTTTTTTTAAATACTAGCATCACCCCACAATGACATGAGATGTAAAGTCTCCTCCCTCGTCCAGTTTTAGTATTTTTTTTTGTGCCATGTACTGCACAGTGTGTTGTTATTGTGCGGAAGTGTGGTGTTTGCCACAATGTGGCATCTGTCAAAATGTTTTCTTAAATGTCTGTGCAATGATGTTCCGATGCGGGCTGTTTGGGGTGATTCTGGAAAATGACACAGAGCCTTCTTTCCGGGACAAATCGGCCAAACATATCACACAAAATACAAAACAACTAAAAACAAATTATGAAATCAAGTGCATTAAATCAACACAGTACAATTTGCTGTGTTTGATTCAACTGATTTTTTATCTATCTATCTGTCTGTCTGTCTGTCTGTCTGTCTGTTTATCTGTCTGTATATCTGTCTGTCTATCTATCAATCAATCCCATAGAGACATTTGCGCATTACGGCAGCAGCAGAGGAATAGTAAAGGAATATTGTTGCAAGTAAAGGTAATAGTAATAAATAAATAAACATAACTAAATAAATGTAAGTAGTTCTATAATGAAAAGCAGTAAAAGTGAAACTATCATTAAAAATAGGTAAAAATTACAATCAAAAATAGGTAAAAATAACAGTAAAAATAATTTTAGACACCAGTCCTCCAAATAAGTGTAAACAACAGACATGATAATCAGCAAAGTAAAAAACAAAATGTACAGTGTCCAGTAAAAATATACAGTTACAGCAGGTCACCAAGTGCAAAGAATGCAAACAGATGTCTGATGAACTTAGTCAAAGAATTGGCTCATAGCAAATAGCTTGTGTTTTGTTATGCTAGAAACCTTTAGGGCTAAAGACAACTCAGATGACCTCCACTTGATTACAAATAACTTCTAAGGTCTGTTTTGGAGTTGTGGTGTGTTGAGCAGCAGTGTGTTGTGTTGTGTTGTTCTGGTCAGGTTGGTCCCACTAGGGCTTTGGTTTTCCTCTCTTGCATGGTGCTTGGCCCCCTCTGACTGCAGCTCTTCACCTCTAATGATGAATGAGTCTGGAGGGAGCTGCTGCTTTTCTGCTGATGCCTGTTTATTTTCTGTACCTCTAAATCAATAGGGCTGCTGTGGGTTTCAATGCATATAGGCATATACTACACAGAGAGAGTTGAATATTTATAACAGGGTAGGCCTTTATAATCATGACGAAATAGGACAGATATATTGAAAATAATGTTTTACGCACGTGGACAGTTTTCCAGATACAGATTAATTCATTTTCTTCAGCGAGAGTCTTCGTCAAGGTTTAATCTTGTTTGTGGGAAAACTGTCCGATGCTAATCACTAACCTGCTTTGTCTGAAGGCTGTTAAAATAAGAGCAAATGTCTGTTAAAGTGATAGTTCAGTGAAAAGTCAAATGTGTATTTCCCCCTGACCTCAATTGTAATTCATCAGCCAAGACTTGTTTTGCGATCTGAAGTTTGCTTCTTTACTTTTGGAGCTAATGTGGCTAATGTGGCTAACAAGTAATGGATGCTTATGTGTGCTAATTAGTTGCCTAAATCATCACTCTCTCATCTCAAAGAATGTACAGTTGTTCAGTATCTCTAATAGACTTGATTATGTGGTTTCTGACACTGTATGAGACACCTATCTGGGTCATTCTCCATTTGGAGTGGGAAACCATGTCACAAAGGTTGCGGGGCTTAAAAAGATAAAATATCAGGCACAGCTCCAAAAGTCAGCATTATACATTTACACAGTTGACCTAAGATTAAGTAATACTTTCCCTTATGATTTCTCTGATTTTTCTTTTTTTTATATCCTGTTTCATAGTTGCTCTGCATCTGTGAAGCAGCTCATCACAAAACCAATTTTCAACATATAAGAAACCATTTTGAATATATAATAATATTTTTAAAATGTTCGTGTTTACTTTTTATATCATTAACGTTATACTACATTTAAAAATATGTATTTTAATTAAAATAAAATAATTTATCACAGAGATTTTGATCACTGCTGTTATCAGGACTCTTATGTTACATTTTAACACAGTATTTTCAGCTCTATTAAACTGCTTCTTTGGGTCGAGGCTCATCAGAGAGGAAGCATCTTAGGGCACAAGAAGGCGAGTCACACTCACTCACTATATTTCATTAATTTATTATTCATTTTGTTTATCAGGCAGCACATAACTTCTATATGCCACTGGTGTTATATGCCTTAATAGGTGGGTAATTGAAATTTTGTCAAAACATAATTTTTATTACTGATCCTAAATAGTACCTGACGGCCAACGAGTTAGCCCATGTACAAAATCCTCAGTTTTAACCAGAATGTCACTGGAGTCACAGTCACTGGTGTTACACCATATTCATATAACACCAGTGACTGTACAATATGTTTGGAATTAAACTGTCCTGTTTGCATATGTTATATATATGATAGCAGGAGATGTTATAGGACATATTAAGATTTTAATATATTACTTTTGGTATGAAAGAAATTGAATTTCGGAAAGTGGAACCACAATTCCCACTTCAAATGGAGAATCACCCATCTATAAATATAGATTAAAGTATATCAGCATAGCTAAAACAGTAGCAGCAACCTAAAGTTTGTCTGTATTGCGCTAATAATGCCGTGACTACATTTGACTACATCTGAGATGGAGGCTGAGCATTCAACTTTTTGCTGAACTATCTATGAAGCTTCGGTCATTGGTCATATGCTCACTGGATACTTCCACACTGAGCACAGTCTCACCAACAGTGGCCACCAACATTTGAAGTATCAGCAAAAATGATCATCTTATTGGTAATCAAGAATGAAAGGGTTCTGTTTAAATATGCGCTCATACTGGCCTTCCAGAAGGTGAGACCGTCCTCAGCTCTACTCTACACAATTGTTAAGCCCATGTTGGGTGTAATTCACAGTTTGACCTGCTGGTGGAGCTGTTCCAGGATGAGGAGAAAGCCACCAGCCCGACTGGAGCGGGTCCTGCCACAGGGGGGCGCACTCGCCTCAGCGTCAAACCAGACAAGGGCAAACCGGCCCAGTCCAGCAAGGAGCACAAGAAGACAGTGGGACTGCAGGTGAGGGATTATTTCTTAGTTTAGAGTACAAAAAGATTACCTAACGGTTCTTGGCTTGGATGTACGGTTCTAGGAAAAAAACGTTTGATTGGTTTTGAACTTGCTGAGGTTCTTTAAAACTTTAAAAATGTTTATTCCCATATCTGAGAGACCTGTATCTGTCACATTCTCCCAAATGACAAAGAAATAAAAGCTCTTGTTTATCCTCATAATCATTTTTTTATATTTGAATAAAAATTTCATGAATATGAACCAAAAATAACTTCTATACCCTATACATGATTTAATCACTATGAAAAATATGAGCTTTTCTCTATCAATATTCATGTGTCCTACACTCTGAAAAACCAATGGTTCTTCAAGAGTTCTTTAGGTAAGAAAATGGTTCTTTATAGAATCGTGAACACTCAGATCACCCATTGCATGATTAAATCTTTGCATTGTGAAATGGTTCTTCAGATTGATGGAGAATATGTGGTTTTATTTTTGAAAGGGTTCTGTATAGCACCCAAAAGCGTTCTGCTCTTGTTACAATATGACCTTGTTACAATAGAAGATCCCTTTTTGGTGCTATATAGAACCCTTTTAGAAAGATTCTATATAGAACCATTTAGAGCACTTTCTTCATCAATTTGAAGAACAATTTTACGATGCTAAGAACCCTTTAATGATGCAAAGGGTTCTTTGAGAGTTCACAGTTCTATATAGAACAGTGTTCTTTACTAAAGAACCCTAAAAGAACAATGTTTTTTAAGAGTGTTCTATATAAATATCTAGAGCACATTTGGGCAGAAAGCATCTGGTTAATCATGACACAGTTTCCTGATTTTGTATTTATGATAATAATAATAATGATAATAATAATAATAATAATAATAATAACAATAAGGCCAGAAAGAAATTAGAAGTGTGGAAACTGAGAGCCACAAGCTAATTTTAAAATATGAGGGGTATTTTTTATTTTGGCTATTAAACAGAACTTTTTGTTTGTTTGTTTGTTGCCCCTGCAGTTCCGGAACTCTCTGCAGCTCCTGATGGAGACGCTGAACGCTACAACGCCGCACTATGTCCGCTGCATCAAACCCAATGACTACAAATACGCCTTCACGTAAGTCGCCTAGCAACCAGCCTTTCTGGGCATTTTTGTCAGATATGATTTTGAAAACGATAACATTGTGCTCTTTGACATTCATCAACAGAGCTGGAAATGTCCTTATATTTTATATCTACTCTGAGAGTTTACTAGTTAGCTCTGTAGTTAGTTTTCTTTGTTGTTTCTAACGTTTGCTGCCTCAGGTCTGACCTCAGCTATAATGAAATAGAATGTAGGATAGGATAAGGATGCAGCTGTGTGTTTTGGCCTCTTGGCAGCCCATACATTTCTATACATTTCTATACAAGCAGTTTACCAAGTACAAGTAGTTTTTGTCATTGAATTTTTTTTTTTAATACAAGTGTAGTGACAGTATTGACAGTAAATTGTCTGCAGAACAGAAGACCCTCCTTTATAACATGCAAGGACAGAAAAAAGATAATATATAATATGAGCATTATGGAAAAAAATAAACTTAATAATACTGTAAAAAGTGTAAGTAATTATTGTGATTCCAGGTTTGACCCAAAGAGGGCTGTGCAGCAGCTGAGGGCGTGTGGTGTGCTGGAGACAATCCGCATCTCTGCTGCAGGATTTCCATCCAGGTACATATATACACATATATCTTTACTAGGGGTGGAAAGTATGACAATATTTTATTGCTATAGTGATAAGTTGTGTCAAAATATGATTTTCTGGTCATATCATAGATATTGTAAAGAACACCAACTTACTGTTTCATTACAAAGTGAGCATAATCAGGCCTGTTAAATTGGATATTGGATATGGATAAAACTATTATGTCCATTCCAACTAATTAAATCTCAGAAAAACAAAATATTGTGATCAATATTGTGTACCCTGAAAATGTCTAAGTATTGTGAAATAATGTTTTGTTTTTTTTTTCCTAATTTAAAAAGGTCAGTTGCCTTTTATGATGTGTCAAACTTTCATGATGCACGTACCAACAGAAATGGTTAAGATACGTTTTTGCTTGTAGAAAACGTGTCCTGTAAAGTGATCTTTATGGAGATACGAGGTTTTGTTGCGACAGCAGCAATATATATATTTATACATACACATGCCGATCTGAATTGAAACCAAAACCCGATAGAATTCTTTGAAATACCTTCTGCCAAATACGGATCATCTCACTTTTATTCTGTGCCTGTGTTCAGGTGGACCTACCAGGAGTTCTTCAGCCGCTATCGTGTTCTGATGAAGCAGAAGGACGTCCTGCCTGATAAGAAGATGACCTGTAAGAATGTTTTGGAGAAGCTGGTGCAGGTAGGGGCTGTTTAACTTTGGCGTGCATACAGTATAACCTAAAATTCTGCACTGTGTTTCTGTAAACAGGCATGTTTTCTTTGTCAGTTTGCAATAAACTGGCAAATAAAGATATTAAGTAGAAAGCTGTTTACGTGTTGCCACTCTTCTTTGTAAAATCTGCAAAACTGTAGGTGCAACTGCAAAAAGACCCACTTATTTTGTCCCCTTGTTGTGATGTCAGCACTCAAATTGATTCTGTGATTGTTTGAATCAAAATAGTTTAAGTTAAAATGCATTAAATTTGCAAAAATTCATAAATCTTTCAGAACTAACCGAGGACTGAATTGATTTCCCTCCATAATGCCTCCTAATCTTTGTCTCCAGGATCCAGATAAGTACCAATTTGGAAAGACGAAGATATTTTTCCGGGCGGGGCAGGTGGCTTACCTGGAGAAGCTCCGGGCGGATAAACTACGAGCTGCCTGCATCCGCATCCAGAAGACCATCCGCTGCTGGCTGGCCCGCAAGAAGTACCTGCGCATGAAACACGCTGCGATCACCATCCAGAGATACGTCCGAGGATACCAGGCCCGCTGGTGAGACCCACACACAGCAATCTGTGCTATTACCACATAAACCTCACTCATTCAGCACTGGGCCAGAGAAAAAAGACAGCTGCGCGTTTAAATCTCAAGCGTTGCCTGAGGAGTTAAGCCGTGCATGGCCCATCATTTTATCAAGTTCAGCTTGTAGAACGGGAGCTCTCAGTGAGCCGCTGTGTTTCCTATCACTGTGTAAAAGATGTACGAGGCTTCCTTTATTGTTGGAAGCACCAACAATAACACAGTATGTTTTTCAGAGTGAGCTTGTGTGCTCATTCAGAGTGCAGTTCAGATCAGTTATTATTGAATTAATTTAATTAACGATACTTGATGTCTGACTTATGTCCCTATTTATATGTTTCTTTGTCCAAAAAAGTAGTTTTGTGACACAAACTGAATAAAAATCTCTACATTTTTGGCCTTGTTAGATCACATTTAAATAAATGTAACCATAGTATTTAGAGATTGTGTTATTAAGAGAAAGGAGTGGATAAAACAGCTGAAATATCATCAGCCTTAAAGGGATAGAGTGTAGAGTTACAGTCAAGCACAAAAGTTTGGCTGCCCCTGGTCAAATTGCATGTTGTGTTGATTTTGTAAGTGAACACATCGTCTACAGAGACACACTTCTGCACATGTTAATGCACAATGACTTGTTGATTTGCTGAATTTAATATATTTAATATTTTATGTTTTATTTTATCAATATGTTAATCTTGGCAATTAAATGAAAATTGTGCAGTAACATTTGCAGGAAATGCCATATTTAAGTGTTTTCTCTGTAGTGGAACTTATTTTCAGTTTGAAAATCATGCATTGTAATTTGACTGTGTTCAAACGTTTACATACGAGTGTAATTTTGCTATTAATTCAATCATATCTTTAATTGCATTGTATGTTACCTAATGAATTACATTTGCATTCGATTTACATTCTGCACTTCTGATTTTTTCTGTTTGTTTTGATGTTCAAACATTGCAAATGTGTAAAAGAGTGTCTTGAGTCTCGACTTAATCTCATTTTTGTCTGCATCTTGTGTCCAGCTTGGCTACGTTCCTGCGTCGCACGAGAGCTGCCATCATCATCCAGAAATACCAGCGGATGTATGTGGCGAGAAGCAGCTACAGACGCAAACAGGCGGCCGCTCTGGCCATGCAGTGCATCCTCCGAGCGTATATGGCCAGGCAGCTGTACAAAGCGGTATGCAGATCGATTATCACACACACAAACCTTTCTTCAATAGTGATGCACCGAAATAAAAAAATGCTTGGCTGAAATTGATGTTCGGGACACAAAGGACGAAATTGTTTTAACAGTTTGTTCGGCAAAATCAAACAGCCTTCAACTACGGCCTTCAGCCAGAGATTTTCCTTTCTGCTTTTTTTGTTTGCTGTTTTCTGTGGGATGTTGTGTTGTCAGCTGTTGTGGAGCAGTTTGTTCTTTTACTCCCTCATGATATTTAGCATGTACAGAGATTATAAAGGTCTGTTGCATCGAGTTCCCCATCTGCCGCTATGCAAACTGTTTGAACGCTTGTACACTGACCAGTGCTGGAGAGTGAAAGTAACGATGTTTTTAATCACTGGTTCTCAGTTTTCTTAGCATTCAAATTGCTTTGTGGGCCTGTTTAATCATTGGAGTTTGTTCGGTCAAAATTTTAATTTTTCTTGTTGGTCTGAAAACTAACCAAAAATGACAGTAACGGAAACTTCGGTGCATCCCTGACATGCAGAACTGGGCAAAAGGCATCTATGAAAATTATTTGTAAATCTATTTTTCTGTGCAGTAAACATTTATTTGTATTAATTTGTTCTGCAGTTGTCGACTTGCGGGAGGAAAAAACATTTCAGACAGCCGCCCTCTCGTATTCACCTGAAAGTTTTAGTTTCCTCCCACCCTCAAGATGCATGATCATAAAGGGGGGCTTCCCTCGTCTTTAGGAAAAATCCCACCCTCAAGGCCTTTGTGGCATCTCTATAGGAGCAGAGTGTTAATGTTCTACTGTTATAGTGTTGTTAATGGTTGGTTCATGTGTTGTTTGAGGTGCTAATAGGCAGGTAAAGGCCACAGTGTGGTAGACTTTGGTGGTAGATGGACTGGCTGGTTATAATTAACGCGACAGAAACCACTCAGTCATCTCAGGCATGAGACACATGACCACAGCAGAGCGCTGGCGTGGTGAAGTGGGAGAAGTTCAGGTTCACCATGAAGTTCACACTCAGAATGGAGCGGAGAAAGAGTTACTCACTGGTGTCAGTCAGATGCCTCAGAGAAATAGAGTTTTTACCTTCATTCTAGTAAATATAATATAGGTATGATAACATAAGACTAGCCATCTAGCAAAAAAATGAAATGCAAGCAGGCTGTTCTCATATTCGCCTCGAAGTAGTTTCCTATTACCTTCACGGTGCATCATCAGAAGAGCTTCTCCTGGTCTTTTGGGAAAAATCTCTACATTTACAGCAGATGCAGAAATTTACTGGGATGCCATAGCAACACCTTGGCAGCCATCTAGGAAATCATAGCAATGGCTTAGCAACACCACAGCAACCATCTGGAGCAACATACCAAGCACCTAGCAACCACCAGCGATATCATAGCAACTAGTTAGCAACATCCAAAAAACATTTGGAACACCATAGCAACAGCTCAGTAACCACCTAGGATACCATAGCAACCGCCAAGCAACACCCTAACAGCCACCTGGGATACTGTAGCAACCACTTAGCAACACCCTAGCAACCAGCAGATATGCCATAGCAACCACCTGGGATACTGCAGCAACCACTTAGCAACACCCTAGCAACCACGAGATATGCCATAGCAACCGCCTAGCAACACCCTATCAACTACTAGACATGCCATAGCAGCCACCTTGGAATATCATAGCAACCGCCTAGCAACACCCGAGCAGCCATCCTGGTATACTGTAGCAAACACTTAGCAACTCCCTAGCCACCACCAGATATGCCACAGCAACCACATGGGATACCATAGCAACCGCCTAGCAACACCCTAGCAGAGACCTGAGATACAGCAGCAAGCACTTAGCAACACCCTTGAAACCACCAGCTATGCCATAGCAACCACGTGGGGTACCATAGCAACTGCCTAGCAATACCTTAGCAGCCACCGGTCATACTGTATCAACCACGTAGCAACACCTTAGCAACCACCTAGGAAATCATAGCAATGTCTTAGCAACACCACAGCAACCATCTGGAGCAACATACCAACCAACTAGCCACTACCAGGGATACCATAGCAACCAGTTAGCAACATCTAAGAAACCATTTGGACACCATAGCAACAGCTCAGTAACCACATGGTACACTATAGCAAGCACTTAGCAATACCCTAGCAACCTCCTAAATACCATAGTAACCATCTGTCAACACACTAGCAACCATCTGGGAATTGCTTAAGCTGCACAGTCACTGCACTTTTCTAGTTTTTTTCATGCATTTAAGTAACAAAATAATGTTGGATGACAGATTTTTGAAACTTTTGTATTTGTATATTGTTTTGTTTACTGGTCCTCAGTCCACCATAAACAGGGCGCTTTGGCATCCAAGACAATATGTTTGTTCACTCCTACCCTAAGTGGACGAAATTATGGGCCATTTTCAGGTTGCTACTACTGTTGTGTGATGTGATGTACTTTAGCCCATGTTTATAGATAACAGTGAGTCACACAGCGTCAGAAACCTCAATCAAGTGTGTTAGAGATGCTGAACAACTCCACACAGTTTGAGGCGAGTATGATGATATAGGCATGCAGCTAGCATCATGCTAATAGGTGTTCAATGAGCTTCCATTGCTTGTTAACTACATTAGCCTCATGGTGTGTGAGATGCTGGAACCACAGTATCGGTGATGAAGGATGGATGTTTGCTGTGATGCTCCTCAGGGGGAGGGTCATGTGACCAGTGAGCGGTACAGGCTGTTTTAACGTAGGGACTGCCCCACTGACGGACAACAGCAGCTGCTGCTGTTCAGAATGATACTACCAACACGCTCCCTCAGTCTCTATCACTCTGTTTGTCTTCATCTGCTCCTTACGTTCCCCTCAGAGCGGTTAGAGCAGAACAGAGATGTGTAACATTTGCAAAATGAAAAGGCAGAAGGTGAGAAGAGCTTAGAGCAGGAGACCTTTGTGAAGTTTTGCTTATGTGTCGAGAAACATCTTAATAATTATATCTGTTTTTTCATCTCTTTCATTTTTTGTGTTTACATATGCTCTCTCTCTCTTTCTCTGCAGCTGCTGCGGGAGCATAAGGCCATCATTATTCAGAAGATGGTCCGAGGCTGGTTGGCCCGTCAGTGGTATAAGCGCTCTCTGGCCGCCGTGGTTTACCTGCAGTGCTGCGTGCGGCGCATGAGGGCCAAGCGCGAGCTGAAGAAGCTAAAGATCGAAGCTCGATCTGTCGAACACTACAAGAAGCTCAACATCGGCATGGAGAACAAAATCATGCAGCTGCAGCGCAAGATCGACGATCAGGTAGCCATTCATCCACACTGACCATTTTGTCAGTGGTACCTAATTTAAAGGGCTGGTATCATGAAAAAAACTGAATTTTCCTTGCTTTTTAAAATGAGTCCTGTGTAACACATGACCCACCCACCCATTCACTTTAAAATGATAAGTAGCGCTACCGCACACTTCATTGTGTGCTTTTTGAAATGAGGCGCAATACAGGGCAGCCTAGGGCTGAAAATTTATTTGTTTTCATATCAAAATCACAATTTTCAAATCGCAAGTTTTGCAATTTTTTAAATTAAAGCCTACATGATTCAAAAACGTCTCAAGTTTTAACGGGAGAAATTAATCCTAATAGCACAGACCTTGTGAACTGCCTGTAGATGAGTTAGACCGATCAGATACAACCAAACCTCCAACCGCAGCTTACTGGCAGTCTGGCGCACTGCATTCAGGGTTCAAGCTTCAAGCCAGAAAAGGTTGATATTCTGGTGTTCTTGGTAAAAAACAGGCCTTAATTTATAGAAAGTAATCACAGTTTAAATTGCAGTCGCAATGTTCGTCAGAAAAATCACAATTAGACATTTTCCCCAAAAAATTTCCCCTAGGGCAGCCAATCAGAACAGAGCTCATTTGCTTATGTCAGTCTTAAAGGTGCAGTAGCAAAAAAGCATAATTAAAAGAGACTTTGGATAATCGTCATGTAAAATGAATTATGACAGAGGGCTTCGGGGGAAAATAAAATACAAGAAATATATCGCTGTTGTCGGAAAACAAAACCTCATATGTCCAAAATGAGAACTTTACAGGAGAGGGAAAAAAACTGCTTTACTTTTAATGTAAGTCAATGGAACCAGACTTTTTTTCCCTATTTTATTTTTTTTTATTTTGAGTCGTTTCTTTTGGTCCATGAAATTTACACACAATGTAAAGAACAACAGGAATTTTCAAATTATGTCAAAAACTGAAAAACAACAAAAATGGATGTACAAGGTTTTGTTCAGACAGTAGCAATATATAACATTGACCCTTTAAGGAGCTAAAAGATTATCATCAGCCAGTATAATTTTCTTTAAAAAAATAAATAAATAAATAAATAAATTAGACAGATTCTGATGTTTTTACCCAAATGCTTTACTGGCTGATGATTATCAGTTTAATTTTTCAAATTCCACAAAAAAACAAATTTGTCATTTTTAAAATTTTACTTTGGTTAGATTTTGCAGAATTTTAGAAATTCTTACTAAAAAAATCTTCTTTCTGTTGTAGAATAAGGATAACCGCTCTCTGAGTGAGCGTCTGAGCGGGTTGGAGGCGACCCATGCTGTGGAGAGCGAGCGTCTGCGGAGGGAGCTGAGCCGGTTACGCTGCGCGGAGGAGGACGCCAAGAACAGTAATAACAGAGTGATCACGCTGCAGGAGGAGCTGGAGCGTCTGAGGGCGGAGCTACAGAGCACGCAGAAAGAGAAAAAGGCCATAGAGGAGTGGGCACAGAAATACCAGGACGAGATGGAGCAGGTAGGAGAGGGCGAGACCGCTAAGATGGGGCTGTATACGTTTCACATTTAATAATAAAAAAAAACATAATAATTATTAAAAAATATTCTGTAGTCTGCGGACCTGATTTGGCTTTGACGTTAGCTCATTGTGGAATAATAAGAATTATTTATAATTCTTATAATATTTATTAATATTAAGTTAATGTTATATAGCATCTTATACAAACCCAAGAACACTTAACTTGTGGCCTAGTCAAATCTACGTTGTGACGGTGTGACATTACTATCTCAAGAAGTTTTTGTTTTCTCAAGATCTCTAGATTATTTTGTTATCTTGGGATAACGACATTTATTATTTCCTGATAATGACATAAATAGCTTAAACATATAACTTGTAAATCCATGACCTTTTAGACCTTCCATGATTTATTTTTGTTTTTCCGGTCACAAAAATGGCAGCGCGGTCACACAGTGAAACAGACAAATAGATAATAACCCTTATATCCTAAACCCTAAACCCTGTGTTGGACCATAGCATGTCCAGAAGTCCTAATCCCTACATCGGCGTGTATTTTCCCCCAAAAGTTCAGACCCCTGGCTGATAGATTGGAGTGCACACTTCCCCTGAGCCCTAGATGAGCATAGCCTCCTCTCTAAAGTTGTCTCCTGATTCAGGTCCACAGGAGAGCCAGCCGATGGTTCACAAATTTAAGGCGGAAAGACCTGTACGTTGTAACAGGTGAGAGAGAGAGTAGAGGCAGGCAGTGGTGTTAGATTTACTGTAGGATTTTGTATTAGAGAGCGGTTTTTAGTATGAATTCTGCTGTAGATGGATCTTTTCAAGCTTATCGGTCAAAGTCGATTGTGACTGGCTTCTCATATAAATAGTGTAGCTCTGCCACTTTTTGTCTTTAATATCCAATTGAGGCAGTGGTTCCCAATCCAAGTCCTGGATACAGCACACTCTGCTGAGTTTACATGTCTCACTAGTTCAGGGGTCTCAACACAAATGTTAAGAAGAGCCATTTTGTCTTCTCAACAAAAATCAATCCACCTTGGGAGCCACAACATTTTGTGTCCATCTGATTGAAGTAACGTTTTACCATCGTAGCTGTAAATACGTCTGTGTGCTAATGTCCTAGTGTAGGCAAAAAAATGTAATATAAACAAAAGCTATAGCCACTTTTCTCGCATCTCTGGCGGGAAACATTTAATCAAAAGTTCTTGTAAAATGTCTCTAAACATTCATCTTTTCACGAGGCTAAATTCAGCTTCTCATTTGCCAGCTTCTTGTTTGAATTTTCCACCTTAAATGGTTTAGCAGTTACATTCTGCTATCTTAGGCACCATTTAAGATGGCAGAATGTAACTGCTACACCATTTAAGATGGAACGAGAAAATTCAAACAAGAAGATGTCAAATGAGAAGCTGATGACTTTTTAGTGTTTCAGTTTCTCAGTGCAGATTAAACGTATCAGGAAACCAGCTGGAGTGATTATAAACCCAAATACGTCCATTCCAAATTATCAATGTTCAGTCTGTGCACCAACCTTCAGGGTTAAAGGGTGAATTACCAGTTATTCATTAACTCCAGTTTTTGTTAAAACTGTGTTAGGACGATCAGCAGAGCTTACTGCAAAGGAGGATTATTATTATATTTTTTTTAAACTACAAATCTAATTCTGCTGTTGAGCTGCAACAGGGCAGTAAAAGAACCGCATGTTGCTGACCCCTGCACTAGTTTAAGACTCCAGCACGAGAGTCATTGTCAGTCTACATAACATAAAAACACAAAACACGCCGAGTATGGGGTCACCAGGACTGGAGTTATTGTTTCATGTTGTAAGTAGCGACCTAGATCAGCGCTCTTAGTTTTGAGGTGCCTGATGCATGAGACCGCAGATATGTGTCTATACCGTCAGTTAACATCACTGAGTCCAGCCAGCACCATCAGTGATTTAATCACTGCTCCATGACTGGACTGTGTATTTATTCAAGTGTATGTGTTGTAGATGATCTCGGAGCTGAAGGATCAGAACAACCTGCTGAAGAACGAGAAGAACGACTTAAACCGGCTCATTCAGGAACAGGGCCAGCAGTGGACAGGTACAGCAATCCTCTCACTACCGTAATCCCCGCTGTCTTAACTGAGTCACAACCAGTCCTAGCCTCGGTCAATCTGTGATCACAATTCAGACTTAGTCCCAGGCCGAACCCGAGCTTTTATCCAGTCTTAGCCCCAGTCTTATGATGGCTTTACACCAAATGACTTTTCAAGCTATTTCACTGTCGCACACAAATTTCCAATGTCGGAATAAAATTGTGAGTCTTGCAATAGTTGCGCTCATGTCATCTCGATCGTTTAGCGTGAGGTGGTCAGGGTGGCCCTCTGTGACTAACTCTGACATTGTCTTGAGGTGCAAGAGGGTGTCAGAGTAGTCTTTCAAAAGTCTTTTCCAAGTCTTCTAGTGTATTGTATATGCCCCACCTTAGCCCAGCCTTAGTTCCACTTATAGCCCTATTCATAGCCTCTCCTTTTCCCAGTCTTGTTTCCTAGGATATACCCAGGATATGCCCAGGATATGTCCCTGAATTTGCCTGTAATTTGCCCAGCCTTAGGCCCGTCTAAACCCCCGTCTTTGCGTATCTTTTTCCTTATCATTGCTGGATTGTGTGTGTGTGTGAATATTTTAAACTAGGCTGTGCAATGTGTTGTGTGTTGCAGAGAAAATGCAGAGGGCTCTGAAGGAGGAGACGGCTCAGCTGGAGAGCGATCTGAACGAGGAACGTTCCCGCTATCAGAATCTCCTCTCAGAGCATCTCCGACTGGAGGAGAAATACGACGACCTCAAGGAGGAGATCTCACTCACCGTGGTGAATACACACACACACGGTGCAATGTCGTCATCACTGGCATCTCATCACTGTCATTGGAAAACCTTTTATCTCAGTTTTTGGGTTTTTATTTTACACCATTGAAAAACACCAGCTGTTCTTTACATTGTGTTAAGAATATTTCTGGATAAATGGTCCAATTACATGGAATTCAGAAATACTATTCTGTGAATAGATGGTAAATTAAGAGTGTTTTTCCTTTGCTTATGACCAGTAGACCCACATACAGTTCTGGACAACATAAGTGCATGACTATCCATCTGTCAGTCTACGTATATAGTGTGTCTCTCCCTTTATCTGCTGTATACACCATACAGGATAAACACTGAGTAAAGACCTGATTTCTCTCTCTTTATCAGAATGTCCCAAAGCCGGGCCACAGGAGAACAGACTCCACCCACAGCAGCAACGAATCAGAATATACTTACAACTCAGAGTTCGCCGAGTCAGAGGAGGGGTCACGAGGAGTGGAGGTGAGAAAGATGGAGGAGAAAAGGAAAAGACAGGAGAGGAGAGAAAGGAAGAAAGTAGGGAGAGAAAGTGAAAGTATGGATGTAAGGAAGGAGAAAAAGGAAAATACAGAAGAGGGAAAAAGGGCCAAAATGAATAAAAATAAGATGCATTTCAGATTGTATCTTAGAATTCTTAGAAATATTCAAACAACAGATGAGGTACAACTTGACCTGGATGTGAAAATTAGTCATGCTAACATTTGTACATGTATGTGTACATTGATTCTAAACATTTGCAATTGGAGCCTTTAAACATGGGGTTGAAATTCTTTTCTGTGCGTGTGAATGATAATTTGCTGTATGTGGCGCCCCCTGCAGGATGTGACGAAGGCATCTCTGGACATGGCTCTGTTCCTGAAGCTGCAGAAGCGAGTGACAGAGCTGGAGCAGGAGAAACAGGGGCTTCAAAACGAGCTGGACCGCAGAGAGGAGCAGTTTCAGCGGGCTAGAGCCAGGGTACACACACACACACACATACATAAAGTACTAGAGTCGAGCATGTACTAGTGATGATTCAGTTTGATTCTCTTTATAAAGCTGATTCTTTTGAACAGAACAGATTCTTTATTTCAATTAATCAAACATCTGATTCAACAAATTCAAATAAGTCAGATTTTTTGTTTATGTCCATGTCCATGCATCGCTGAATTTGAAATTTGATTAATTGTAATGGACAATTACAAAAGAATCGGTTCAATAAACTGAATTGAACATCCCATTACTACAAAGGAGACAGAAAGCTCGAGCCAGCTGGAGTGATGGGGCATTTGATTTGGTGCAGAACAGAGTCACTTGAACTGTCAGATTTGAAGAATCAAGAATCTGATTTGAATCAAGGAATCAAACTGTTCAATTCTGTTCATGAATCACTGATTCAGACATTTGATTCATTAGAATGGACCATCAGAAAAGAATCAGTTTCGTAAGCTGAATTGAACTTTCCATTACTAGAAAGCACACACACATACGTACAAGCCAGTGCCAAAAACTAATTAAACTGCGGTGTCTGCCGATCTACACTGCTCCCACGGTAACAGAGTTATTGCTGCTGTGTTGTTGCTGTGTTATGCTCTGTAACACTACACTGATCAGTATTTGAGCTGACTTTACTCTTCTCTGATCCTCAGGATGATGAAGAGCATAAGAAAGCTCGCAGCGCAGAACTGGAATATGAATCTCTCAAGGTAAACAAACACACACAGTGCAGAAACTCTCTTATTAAACTCCTGGCTTTTACCCAGACTTCTCCAGCCTGGAGTTTCCATAGGAGCGCTGGATTAGCTGGAGCCGAAGTGGGTTCTGAAGTGGTTTAGCTGCAAAAGTGAAGCCTCAGCTCGCCACCAGCTGTGAAGTGTCTACCGGATGAGCGTAGTTAATTGGTGGATGCAGTATGAAGATCCTGCACCGATCATATAATGTAATAGTTTCATGAAAAATCTGATTTACGCGCCCCAAAAGCGGCCAGCAGTTGGCTAGGGAAGCTGTTCGACTTGCATACAAAACAGTACACAGCCACTTCAGGTTTTGAAAATATTTTGAGAATAAAACAAAGGATACAGATTCCTCACACGCTCACCGTATTTTAGCCTGTTTTTGTTCTCCTCACTTAGAAGCAATAGTCTTACTTAGTGCTTATTTAAGTAATCTCTAATAGACTTGATTATGTGGTTTCTGACACTGCGTGACTCACTGTTATCTATAAACATGAACAAACACTCTATAACCCCATTTCCAAAAAAGTTGGGATGTTGAGCAAAATGTAAATAACAATAAATTGCAATGATGTGCAAATCATTTAAACCCTGTATTTCATTGAAAATAGTACAAAGACAACAAATCAAATGGCAGAGAAATTTTATTGTTTTTGGAAAAATATTTGCCCATTTTGAATTTGATGCCAACAACATGTTCCAAAAGTTGTGACGGGGGCCTGTTTACCACTATGTTTCATCACCTCTTTTTTAACAACACTGGAGAGACACTGCTGTAGTTTTGAAAGTGAAATATTTTCCCATTCTTGTTTAATATATTATTTCAGCTGCCCAACAGTTCTGGGTCTTCTTTGTCGTATTTTTTGTTTAATAATGAGCCAAATGTTTTTAGTGGGTGACAGATCTGGACTGCAGGCAGGTCAGTTTAGCATCCAGACTCTCTTAATATGGAGCAATGCTGTTGTAATATGTGCAAAATGTTTTTTGGCATCGTCTTGCTAAAATAAGCAAGGCCTTCCCTGAAATAGACGTCGTCTGTATGGAAGTATATGCTGCCAAAACATGTTTATACAGTTCAGCATTAATGGTGTTTTCACAGATGGGCAGGTCACCCATACCCTGTGCACTAATGACCCCCTATACCATCATGAACACTGGCTTTTAAACTGTGCACTAGTAACAAACTGAGTGGTGTTTAGCCCGGAGGACACTTTGTCCATGATTTTCAAAAAGAATTTCAAATGTTGATTCGTCAGACCAGAGGACACTTTTCCACTTCGCCTCAGTCCATTTTAAATGAGCTCAGGCCCAGAGAAGGTGGCAGCGTTTCTGGAGCTTGTTTACATATAGTTTCTTCTTTGCATTTTTGAGTTTTAAGTTGCATTTGTGGATGCAGCGACATCTGTTTTCACAGACAGAGGTTTTCAAAAGTGTTTCTGAGCCCATGCAGTGATTTCCACTACAGAATCATGTCTGTTTTTAATGCAGTGCCGTCTGAGGGCCCAAAGATCACGGTTAGCAAATACTGTTTTTTGGCCTTGTCCCTTACATACAGAGATTTCTCCAGATTCTCTGAATCTTTTAATGTTATTATGTACCGTAGGTGATGAAAAGCAAATGTTCTTTGTTATTTTATGTTGAGAAATGTTATTCTTGAATTGTTGCACTATTAGATTGTGCAGTCTTTCACAGAGTGGTGAACCCCTCCTCATCTTTACTTCTGAAAGCCTCTCTGGGATGCTTTTTTATACCCAATCATGTTACTGACCTGTTGCCAATCAACAATTTTTTTAGCGTTACACGACTTTACCAGCATCAATATTTGATTTGTTGTTTGTACTTTGTTAATTAAATATAGTGTTTAAATGATTTGCACATCATTACATTTTGTTTTTATTTACATTTTGCACAGCATCCCAACTTTTTTGGAAATGGGGTTGTACTTCTGCTGTTTTAGCTATGCGGCATACTTTAGTCGATGTTTAATATGTCATAAAGTGTCAGAAACCACAGAATCAAGTCTATTAGAGATACTGAACAACTCCACACGGTTTGAGGCGAGTGTGTGATGATTTAGGCCTCAGTTAGCACCATGATAATTGGTGTACAAAAGCTTCCATTAATGGTTCCATTTTTAATTTTCCAAACTGTATTAATCGGTTATGTAATGTAAAATGTTTATAGAAAGTTATTCTCTCTCTCTTAGCGTCAGGAGCTTGAATCAGAGAATAAGAAGCTGAAGCATAATCTGAATGAGATACGTCAGTCTCTGATGGGCAACACCGGCGCTGTTTCGGCCGCCCCCGGATCGCCTGCTTACAAGGTTTTGCTGGATCAATTAAACGCCTCCAACGAGGAGCTGGAGGTCCGAAAGGAGGAAGTGCTCATCCTCCGCTCTCAACTGGTCAGCCAGAAAGAAGCTATGCAGCACAAGGTCAGATACAGAGCCGGCACACTGTCCACACTGCCAAACTGAGCCTAAAAAAACTTATAATAATGTTTTTAAAGATGTTTTCATATATTTCTGAAAGTGATTGAAACATTCTGTCTCATAACTGTGTCTTTAAAACTTCTGTCACTAACTCGATTCACTGTTTTATTTCTAACTGCTAACATCTCTCTCTCCCACTCTCTCTCTTATCGCTCTCCCAAAAGGATGAGAAGGTACTGCAGTCTGTGGTAGAAAAGTGTGAATGTTCAATTACGTGCATTTGTCTAGCGGATAATCCTGTATTCAGCTTGTGTAATTCTGCAGTTTTTACAGTAACACTGCATATGGATGCCTGACCCAGTGAGCTGCCTGACCCAGTGAGCTGCATGACCATAAGCAGAGTTTGAGCGTACAGTCTTCTGCAAAAGTTTGAACACACAATCAGATTAGATGGTTTTCTTTTTATTTTTCTAAGTGAAAATAAGTTGACATATCCTGCACAGAGAACACACTTAAATATTGTGTTTTTATGCACATTTTAGTGCACAGTTTCTGTTTACTTGCTGAATTTAACATATTGAATAATAATAATAATAATAATAATAAAAAAACATATAAAATGTGCCTAAACTTTTGCACAGGCCACATTTTGTGTTTGCATGTTGCAGAATTGTGTTCTCTGTAGAAAGCAAAGAGTCATTTGAACAGTGGTGCCCAAACTTTTGCATACTGTTTATTTAGGAGGAATTCCACCAGTTGTTCAAAATTTCCTCCAAAATCCAGTGAGTGGTGTGTAAACAGAGTGATTAAGAGTGGTTCAGAGTGGTTCAGTGAAATGGTTCAGATTTCTTTACAGTGGTGGTGATAGGAACCAGAGGTAAATCTGAAATAATACACTTTCTTTAGGGAATATTGTGCCTCACAGTGCCCTTCATCAACCCCTCCACTGTAAAAGAAAGGATTTTAAGGTCAAAATCTTCTCAAATCTATCATAGCTAAAACAATCTCTGACATCAGGCAGTGTTTTCATAATCATTTTATGTAATAACTTTCTGTGAGGGAACTTTTGAAGGTGAATGCCTGGCTCCTATCACTACCACTGTGAACAATTCTGACTCTCTAAGATGCTCTAGAACAGAGTATTAAGAATCGTTAAATTTGGGTGGAATTCCCCTTTAACAGAGAATTAAACACAGCTGTAAAAGCTCTCTGACAAAATGATTATTTTGCTCTAATAGAATTAAGCAGAACATTAGACAGAAAATTACCAGAGCTCACAGAAAGCAGGACAAATTATAACATAAATAATAAAGACCAGTGGCCAGTAGGGGGTGCAGTGTAGCCTTAAACTCTGCCTGTGCTCATTGCTCAGTAAAGGTCAGTGCGCTAATAACTATGTCTGCCATTCACTATGTGATTGAACTCCTTTACATCTTATCAAATTAAAATTCTTTAATGTTAATAATCCATAAATGCTGCTGATGATGATGTTAGTGATGGTGACGGTTATTACTGTGTTTGTATAGGAGACCATGACTGAGCCGCTGCATTATGTGGAGGACGTGCAGAAGCTCACTGATGCTAAAGAGATCTCTCAGGCTTACATGGGCCTCAAGGACACCAACAGGTACAGAACACGTTCACACACACATTTATATCTTCACTTTCACTTTATTCCTTGCTCTCACTTTCTCCCAGTCCATCCGAGGACTGGACAAGAGAATTTTGCATTTTTTATGTTTCCTGTAATTCTCCTAGGTTTGTCATTTTTTTATTTTGTTTAGTTTTTCCAAGCAGCACAGTTTTTTTTATTTTAAAAATACTTGGGATTGCTTAGGAGTTCATTTATAGTCAGTTGATTTATATCAGAAGAATTAATGTGTGACTGAATGCTGTACAGGTCATACTTGACCAAAATATAATTCACATGCACAGTTGTGTCCTAAAGTTTGAGCACCTCTGGTGAAATTACATATTGTGTTCATTTTGTAAGTGTAAATAAGTGAACACGTCTCTACAGAGACGCGCATTTTAATACACAATTATTGCTTATTTGTTGAATTAAACATGTTAGGGGAAACAAATTTAAAAACTATTTAAAAGTAATGGCAAATTTTATATTTTATGTTTTTTTTTTTGTTCAGTATGTTAAATAAGCAGAAATTAGTTGTTAAAATGTGCGGGAGTGTGTTCTCAGTAGAGGTTTTGTTAACTTACACTTGAAAAATCAACAAAACATTAAAATTGACTGGGCTGTTCAAACTTTTTGCATACAACTGTATATTTCTGAAGAACAGAATAGTAAATAATTTCTTAAATAAGCACTAAATACAGCTTGGACTGTCATATCTACAAACCCAGTTCCAAAAAAAGTGTGTGCAATGCTAATAAACACAGAAAGCAGTGAGTAGTGACCAGTATTGACCTAAAAACAGTACAAAAACACTAAATGTAATGTTTTACTTTATGAACTTTACTGTTTTTTGGAAGTATGCCTCCATTCCAAATTTGATGCCTGCAACACATTACAGACAAGTTGTAACAGGAGCATGTTTACCACTGTGTTACATTAACTTTCCTTTAGCAGCATTTAATAATCATTTTGAGACTAAAGACGCCAACAGATCCAGTTAACAATGTTTTTTGAACATTTCAAAAAAGTGTTTCTAGTCGTAAACATTTTTTAAACGTGTTGCATCAATTCAAATTAAATAAAACATTATGTATCATTTTATTGTACTGTTAGATTTATACATCTTTTAATAAATAAAGTTAGATTTATACATCTTTTTAACTACTCCTAACTTTTTTGGAGTTGGATTTGTTTAAGAAAGCCCTAATAGATCGGTATTTGATCACCCAGAAGGGGGAGCTCATGCTGGTTTCCTCGTAGGTAAAGCACACACTGCAAAAATGGTATCTTTTCAAGTAAAATTATCTCAAATATAGTCAGTAAATCTAATATTTCTCCTGTTGATATTGTTGTAAGCTTAATTTAAGATTATTTACCTTATTTCTAGACATTTTTAAGTCATTTTATTAAGTCAAATTACCTCACAATATTGGCTGATAATTTTTTTTTAAGAAATGAGCTTGGAATCAGCAAAATTATCTGCCAGTGTAGTGAGAGAATTTTACTTAATAAAATTGCTTAAAACAAGTGAAAAATGTCTAGAAATAAGCTAGATAATCTTATAATAAGTGCACAACCATCTCAAAATGGAAAATATTAGATATAGATAACTAGATTTAACATCATTTTACTTGACATTTTTTGGAGTGCAGACACCAAACAACACCATATTTTAGTAAAAAAAATATATTATTTCAGTTTGCAGAAAAAAATCTGTGATTAAAAACTACTGTGTGTAGATAGTAAAACACAAGAGCTAAATGCTGCTCCTCTGGCACAAACCAGCTCGCCACAGTGCTATTTCACACAGCTACGTCAATGACTAGATCTGCAGATCTGAATTTAGTGCATCTTTCCATGAGAATTTAATTTTTTTACCACACAAACTAAGAACACTATGAAGCAAATTGTCACTGTCCAAAGAAAAACAAATATGTCCAAAATGGTAACTTTACAGGAGAGTGTAAAAACACAACTTTTCATGAAAGTTAATTTAAAGAAATTTTATTGCAAGCAATTTTGGGACACTTCTGTTGGTCCATTCATTATGATTTTTTAAAAAATAAAAAAAGAAAAAAATGAAGATATTTGTTTTTCTGAACAGCGATGAAATTATTAGCCGTCTCGTTCCATCCTAACATCTGTATCTTGTCCAAGTTTAGCAGTACGTGAGTTTGACCTGGACGGGCCTATTTAATGAAACACTGTTCGTTCCGACTGCACTCCAGCAGTAAAGAACATCTCTTGTGAGCGAGAACCCGGATTCCTGCGTGTGTGTTTGTGTGTTTGTGTTTTGATGTGTGTCTCTGTCCTGCGTAGATCGCCCAGGTTTCTGCGCAGGCCGCTCGAGGTGAACGAGCTGGTGAATAGGCTGAGGTAATGCTGCCTGAGATAGAGAGACAGAGAGAGCGAGAGAGATGTTATGCATGGTCATGCTCAGTTGGTCAGATCAGTTTAATACCGATATTAGTAATTAGAATTATTCATACGGCCGAGTCTGGTTTTACAGCGCACTAACCCGCATGAGAGCCGTGAATGAGCGAATGCCTTCAGTTCTCAAACTAACACATTTGAAGGAGGATAGTAGAAGCAGCAGCATTAAACGAAGGTAACATATTTTGCAGACGGTTTTTATATCATAGCAAATAGATGGAGCTCTGATTCTGCACTTCTGCAGTGCTACATGGCTGTCATAAACACAGGAACGGAGCTGGAGATGAATGAATGGAGCGCATGTTAGTTTGCAGCTGTGCGAGCGGCGCTGTTGAAGGGGTTTGGCCTTGATGCACTCAGAGCTTCAGAGATTTAAAGGGCCCATATTCAGCATTTTCTTGTAGAATTAAGTAGGCTGTTTTTGTGACTGCCTTTAAGACTAATCGACTGTAAATGAGCCTCAGTGGAAACTGTGAAATTCAGACTGAAAGCCTACGTGGATGAACTTCAGCAGCTCCTTTCGAATGTGTGCTTCCGTTTGCTTCCTGACAGCCAAGAACAGCACAACGTTTACTCATTTTCCCACAACTTACACTCCCAATAGCTCTACTACAGACTGTCTGCAGGAACAACACTGCAGCACTTCGGCAGGAATGGGCGGGGTTAAATTGCTTTAGGCATCATACTCATTTATAAGAAAAAAAAAAAAAGGAAAAGTTGTTTTTTCATGAAATGGGCCCTTTAGTCTGTTTTAAGGATGCCTTTAAGTGTGTGAGGGTTAGGCATGGTGCCATCTAACAGGCCACGTGTGCCAGCAGCTGTGCAAGTGCTGATACCTCCACAGCTCACGGTGCTTATGATGAGGGGTGACTGGACTGAAGCATGTCTTGTCATATTTACTTGTTTTATGCCACATAATTTGATCGTTTTGAATCCATCTTTTTAGTTATTTTCCTTTGTGACAAGCGCATTTACATCCCTTCATTATTTCATTGTTGAATCAGCTGCACCATTATTCTGTTTTGTGTTGTCATTTTTGTCCCTTTCCACTTTTCCCATTGTCCCCTTTCTCTCTCCTTCTTTTTTTGTCGTTTCCCCTCCCCGTGTGATGTCAGATCACCTCTCCCTGACATGCGTAAGATGAATGAGGATGGAGAGCTGTGGCTGGTGTATGAAGGCTTGAAGGAGACCAACAGGTTAACTGTGTGTGCCTGTGTGTGTGCGTGGGCTTCTTTTACTACATCTTTATTACCATCTTTGCATTTGTGTTTTATGTTTTCTTTCTATTTCAACTAACCTGCATACACATGTACATATATACAGTACTGTGGAGTCAGAGACCCTTCATTTATTTAATTCCCACGCAAAATGGCGAGAAAGTACAAGGTGTTAATTCTTCAGGAGATATTTTTGAGGATATTATATACAAGTTAATCCGCTAGGATACGGAAGGAGAAAGTGGGAAAAAAACAGGAGTTTCCAAATCTGGAATTGAAAAAAAAATTATTAAAAGCTACAGAGAAAATGGGGCTCCAGACAACCACCTGGAAGAGCTATTAGACACCAAAACTGCCCCCATCAGATAAACAGCACTTAAAGCTTTCATCTCTGAGAGAGAGGAGAAAATCAAGCTGCTTCAGATCTGAAAACATCCACAGGTGTTTCTGTCCATCCTTACGCTGTGAGAAGACGACTCAGCACTATGGGTCTGAAAGGATGTGGAGCTGTCAAGAAGACCTCACTGAGAAAAGGAGACAGACACATCAAACAAAGAAGCTGAACAATGGACTGACCACCCCAGAGTCCAGACCTCAACATTACTGAATGTATTTGATTACTTCAGAAAATGATCAACCAACTTTGGAGGTGTGTCTGCAGATTCTTTGAGAAACTGAAAGTGAGTCTCCTGAAAAGAGTGGAAGTGTAATAAAGGTAAAGGGTCACACACTGACCACTCAGACAGCTGATATTAGATTTAGTTGTTGAGGCTGCTGTGTGATTTTATATTTCTGAAACTGAAAAACTGAAATTTATTTCACAGTTTCACCTGAAATTAAATAAATGAAGGGTGGTCTCTGAGAAATTGACTGAAAAAATGAAAGCTGGATAACAAGAACAGCAATACTTGTCATTACTGAGCCTGCATGTATCCATAGAAACGTGTCTCTGTGGGTTTTTAAGGCTTTGGAGATGCTGCATGGTCTTCAGTAACACCAAGGACGAGCTCAAACTGTTCTTCAGTGGATTTCTACTTTCAAACTCCTCGTTGGTTTATGCGTCTTCTGACAGGACTTTGTTTTCAGGGGGACGCTGAAGCGGCTGTGCATGTTGGTTTGGCCTGAGCAGGTCAGAGTGATGTGCTGACCGCTGCTGGCCCATTAGCTGCTCTCTTTGGGCTGCAAACTTGGCTGCTCCTGAAAGAAATGCAGATCAAACCTGCTCACTTTGGCTGGCTGTCCAATGGATGTCTGCTCCCTAGATAGTGCACTATGTAGGACACTAAATAGGCTTCTACACCTAGACAGTGCACTGTGTGTTAATGCTGAGCTGTACAGCTCGTTCATAGTGCTGCATAGCTCTAATAGTGCCCTGTTTGAATGTAAAAGCTATTATTTCATGAATCATGCAGTGCACTATCTAGGGAGTAGGGAGACGTTTGAGATTCAGCCTTTGACTGTTTAGTAGAGCCTGACCAATATGAAAAGTTTGTGGCTGATTCTGATGTTAAGGTGCTAAAAATTCTCCACACAGTGCATTAATAGCAAATAAAAAGAAATTGGGCCATATTTAAATGCACACAATGCCATATTTAAGCTTGATTCCTGTAGAAAATGTGTTTCAGATCAGCAAGACAGTTTTCTCCCATACCAATAAAACCCGAAGTCATCAGTACTGATAGAAATTATCAGCAAAAAATATATTGGTTGGGCTCTATTTTTAGAGACTTTGCAGGGAGACTCTTGTGATTTTATTTTCATATGTATTTTTTTTAACAGCTTCGTTCTGCTCTGAGAGTCACTAACCACTCCTTTCTGCTTTCCTTCGACTCTGTCAAAACATATTTGTTTAAAAACTAAGTGTCTCTCCTCCTCCTCTCTGCTCTCCGTCTGTGCAGGTTATTGGAGTCTCAGCTGCAGGCTCAGAGGCGTTCTCACGAGTCAGAGTTGGAGGCTTTGCGTGGAGAGCTGCAGAGCGTGAAGGAGGAGAACAATCGGCAGCAGCAGCTCCTCGCTCAGAACCTGCAGCTCCCACCAGAGGCTCGCATAGAGGCCAGCCTGCAGCACGAAATCACACGACTGACTAACGAGAACCTGGTGGGTGCACGACACATTAGGAATGGCTAACGAAGAACTGAAGTGAAAGCTTTATTTAAAGTAGCGTTAACCGGTTAGGGAAAGGGAAAGTCCACCAATTGTTCAAAATTCAGTGTGAGAGATGTAAACAGAGTGGTTTGGTGTGAAATGGTCCAGATGTCTTTACAGTGGTGGTGATAGGAACCAGGGGTCACCATGACTACAACACAAATGTATACATTTTATTTACTATCCGGAACCACCAGTGTGGTGATATTGATGATGGTGAAATGGTGATAAATCTGACTTTAAAAAGGCCTTAGAGGCAGTGGATTTGTATCCATTTCATGTAATAACTTTCTGTGAGGGAGCTTTTAGAGGTGGACATCTGGTTCCTATCACCACCACTGTCAACAATTCTGACTCAGTAAGTCAGTCTAGAACGGAGCATGTGAATAATGCTGTACTCTGTGTTCACATTAGCAGGTGACTTGCGACAGGTGACCAGTCGTTTCCTATGGGAGTAGACAATTTAGCAACAAGCGTCAGGGCAACAAATTAAGTTAAAATTTTCTCAAATTGTAAGTTAGGTATGATGCAGTGAACAATAATCTAAACAATCGGCACCAGCAAACTCTCCAGACCAGTCATAGACATGGGGCACTAAGGCCACAGATGCTCCTCTCTGAAGCTTTGGTTTGGCTGGCTTTTTATTCCTGTTTCTGATAGTATCACACAAAAAATGTAAGAGAAATGTAAGACTTACAAACGTAGAACCGCAGTTAATATTGTAAACAAAATAATGATACATATATAGTGGATATGTTTGGCATTTTCCTGTCAAAAGCTGAACAGTTTACACACCCATGCACAACAACAGTGGCCTTGGACACGCCCACAAACTTATTTTGGTGTGACGGACCCTCTAATCCTGCTCTAAAAATGTTTTTTTTCGTCACAGTGTTTAGTGCAGGCAGCTGTTTACTCTTGTTGACTAGAATTTAGCTACAAAAAAATACAAACTCTTGTTAAAACTCCCGTCTGAATGATCAAAAAACACTGCATGGAAGTGTGTTTATTGGACATCAGCCAGAGTAGCAGTTTTGTGTACAAAAGGTATGAGACACTCTGTTTCTGTGTGGGATCATCTAAGGCTGAGATTACAAATTTAAATATCAACTTTGGCTGAAAGCCCTCTCTCTAGAGTATGTGTTGTGTTTATGTATCAGTCTGTTTAGCCTGTCTTCACACAGGGCTCAGCCAATCAGACTTTAAAACCAGAAATGTCAAGAGTTTTGTTTTTCTGCAGTGTTTCCCAGCCATGATTGTGTGTGTGTGCGTGTGTGTGTATGTATGTGCGTGTGCGTGAATGTGCATGCGTGTGTGTGTGTGTGTGTGTATGTAAGCCCACTCGTCCTACTCTGTGTGTGTGTGTGTGTGTGTGTGTGTGTGTGTGTGTGTGTGTGTGTGTAGGGCTCACTCGTTCTCCTCTAACCATGAGAGCATGCGTGTCTGTGCATGTGTCTGTGTGTAGGCTCACCCGTCCTCTTCTAATTGTATGTGTGTTTGTCTGTGTGTAGGCTCACCCATCCTCCTCTGATTGTGTGTGTGTGTGTGTGTGTGTGTGTGTGTGTAGGCTCACCCATCCTCCTCTGATTGTGTGTGTGTGTGTGTGTGTGTGTGTGTGTGTGTGTGTGTGTGTGTGTGTAGGCTCACCCGTCCTCCTCTAATTGTGTGTTTGTGTGTGTAGGCTCACCTGTCCTCCTCTGACTGTGTGTGTGTGTGTGTGTGTGTGTGTGTGTGTGTGTGTGTGTAGGCTCACCCATCCTCCTCTGATTGTGTGTGGGTGTGTCTGTGTGTGTGTATATGTGTGTGTAGGCTCACACGTCCTCCTCTAATTGTGTGTGTGTGTGTGTGTGTGTGTGTAGGCTCACCCGTCCTCCTCTGATTGTGTGTGTGTGTGTGTGTGTGTGTGTGTGTGTAGGCTCACCCGTCCTCCTCTGATTGTGTGTGTGTGTGTGTGTGTGTGTGTGTGTGTGTGTAGGCTCACCCGTCCTCCTCTGATTGTGTGTGTGTGTGTGTGTGTGTGTGTGTGTGTGTGTGTGTGTGTGTGTGTGTGTGTAGGCTCACCCATCCTCCTCTGATTGTGTGTGTGTGTGTGTAGGCTCACCCATCCTCCTCTGATTGTGTGTGTGTGTGTGTGTGTGTGTGTGTGTGTGTGTGTGTGTAGGCTCACCCGTCCTCCTCTAATTGTGTGTTTGTGTGTGTAGGCTCACCTGTCCTCCTCTGACTGTGTGTGTGTGTGTGTGTGTGTGTGTGTGTGTGTAGGCTCACCCATCCTCCTCTGATTGTGTGTGGGTGTGTCTGTGTGTGTGTATATGTGTGTGTAGGCTCACACGTCCTCCTCTAATTGTGTGTGTGTGTGTGTGTGTGTGTGTAGGCTCACCCGTCCTCCTCTGATTGTGTGTGTGTGTGTGTGTATATGTGTGTGTGTGTGTAGGCTAACCCATCCTCTCCTAATTGTGTGTGTGTGTGTGTGTATGTGCGGGGGCTTTTTATCACTGTGCCTCTCGATTCGCAGGTGAATCCCACTGAGGACCCTAAAGCCTACAGAATCAGCGTTCTGCGGAGGATGATTGTATGTAGAGGAGTGTGTGTGTGTGTGTGTTGTGCACGTGTGTGAGCACTAATGGAGGTCAGTGTGCTGCACAGAATCTGAGCTGAGTTTTAACTACAGCTGGTTGTTTTAACCCACAGCGGTGTGATTCAGCACACAGCTCTCACTCACACACTTACACTCTCTCTCTCTCTCTCTCTCTCTCTCTCTCTCTCTCTCTCTCTCTCTCTCTCTCTCTCTCTCTCTCTCTCTCTGTTTTTTTTAATCACTCTTTGCTGCAGACTGTATTGAACTGAACTGAATCTGAGCTTTAACCTGCTTCTCTCCTTTAATGACTGATTCCTAAGCACTAAACTCCTCTGCTGCCCACCCTGAGTTAACCCCTCAGCAGTGGTTTCACAGTGTTCTGGTGTCTGTGTCTTGTGTAGGACCTCATGGAGCAGCTGGAGAAGCAGGATAAGACGGTCCGAAAACTGAAGAAGCAGCTCAAAGTGTTCGCTAAGAAGATAAACGACCTGGAAGGTAGAGTCTTCCTTGAATTCAAGCTTTACAGAAATCCCAACTGTAGAATAGACTCAGTTTATATCACAATACTTACATTTAGAGTTAGTTGACAGACACTGGGTAACAGCCCATTCTGCTAAATAAAATAAAAAAAATAAAATATTTGATACAGCATGTAAACACTGTTAAAGTTACAAAACAACTCCCCAGTCCATAAATAAAAATCAAGCTGCAAAAACGTCCTGTTTTGAATTTACTGATTTTTTTTTTATGTAATGTCACATGAAAAAAGAAATTGCTTACAATTTTTTTCATTTCCCCTTAAAATTTACATTTTGAATTTCCACCTATCTCTCTCTCTCTCTCTCTCTCTCTCTTCTTTTGTGTTTGTGTTTGTGTTTGTGTGTGTGTGTGGGTTTGTATAGGTGGTCAGATCGAGAACGTGTCTCCGGGTCAGATGGCGGATGAGCCGATCCGTCCAGTCAGCATTCCACGCAGAGAGAAGGATTTCCAGGGAATGCTGGAATACAAGAAGGAGGACGAGCTCAAGCTGGTCAAGAACCTCATCCTGGGTAAGACACACGCAGTGGCGTAGCGTCTGGGTGTGCATGGTATGCGTCTGCGTACAGGCCTGTGAATCACCTCTGTGTTCTAAGTCAGCAGTGCATAATCACCTCTGCTTCATCTTTTTATGGTTATACGCACACTTGTTTTAAAAGATGCAATAGGTCATATTTTTACTATCTTACTATTACAAATAACCTGAAGATGTATGTGGAGCACATTGAACAATACTTGATTGCTGTTGATGAATTTTTTTTTTTAACACCTCTTGAAAATGGCAGCTGCCCTTTATGTGGTCTGAACAATTCATGATGATCGGACCAATAGCAACGGTTCAAAATGATTTACATATTAAATGACTTACATACTGCAAAGTTTAAAAATTCTTGTTTTTTTACTGCTCTTACAAAGTTACCATTTGCTTGTTATTACAGTGATGAACTGTAGAACTAATATCTAGACCTGTTGCGATTATTACATAACTGCCTGATCATGATAATTTGTGCTAACCACCATGATTTGTGGTGGCCGCGACCATTTATTTTATTTCAAGCCAAACAAACAGAATGATTTACTTGCATTTTCATCGCAAAAAATAAGGCGAGACAAATAACTGAATGAGCACAAGTTCATGTTAATGACTGAAGGGAAATGTCTTCTTTCTTTTTAATCAAAATGTAGCCGATCGGCCTAATCACGTTTGGTGTGTGAAGTTCACTTATTTAGTTTTAGCACTGGAGCTCTGAGGCTGATGTTGCTGGCTAACAAGTGGAAGCATACACAGCTTAGTGTCGTGTAAGCTGCATTCGTAAATCACACTGACTTGTCATGAGCAGCTTTTGAAACAAACATTTATTCAGACTTAGTTGCAAAGCCAAAAACAACATCACCATTGTGGGCACATTTTGGTTTCAAGCCAAATGAAAAAGGAGAACCCAAAGACTTGGAGGAGGTGATCTGTCTTTGTATGAATACTAATGTCAAGTGTTCCATATTGCTGAGAAAAATGCACTCTGAAAAAAGCATAAATGTTTTTGTGAACACAGTATTGTATGTAAGGTAATATAGGGCAGCACAGTGGGGTGTGATTTGTGTGTTTGTTTGCCTCCCACAGCTGAAGTGCTGCCCATTGGCGTTTTTTTTATAAGTCAGTGGGTTTTCTGTTCCTTTCTAAGTCTGTGGTGATCTACTGTACATTACAGATCCAGCAGATAGATATTAGATTGGAAAATGCTGGATTATTCCTTCCTAACGTTCCTGTGCTTTACATTTTTGCCTGTCTATAGAGCTTAAGCCGCGTGGTGTAGCAGTGAATCTGATTCCCGGTTTGCCGGCCTACATCCTCTTCATGTGTCTCCGGCACGCCGATTACATCAACGATGACCAGAAAGTCCGATCACTCCTCACCTCCACCATCAACAGCATCAAGAAGATCCTCAAAGTAAACACGAACACACACAATTTTATTTGATATCAGGATAGTTGGTACACACTGTATACCCCATATGTATGTTTGTGTGTCTATATGTAGCAAGAATATTCCACTTTATATGCACTATATGGACAAAAGTATTGGGACACCTACAGGAGCTTTTATGACGTCCCATTCTAAATGCATAGGCATTAATATGGGGTTGGTCCCCCCTTTGCAGCTACAACAGCTTCCACTCTTCTGGGAAGCTTTCTACAAGATTTTGGAGTATCTGTGGGGAATTTTCACCCATTTATCCAGATGAGCATTTGTAAGGTCAGACACTGATGTTGGATGAGTGGGCCTGGTTCTCTGTTCTAGTTCATCCCAAAGGTGTTCTGTGGGTTCGGGGTCTGTGCTCTGTGAGTGCCAGTCAAGTTCTTCCACATCAAACTCACCCAGCCATGCCTTTATGGACCATGTTTTGTGCACTGCGGCTCAGTCACGTTGGAATAGAAGGTTCTTCCCCACACTGATCTCACAAAGTTGGAAGTGTACAATTGTCCAAAATGTCTTGGTGCTGAAGCATTAGGATTTCCCTTCACTGGAACTAAGGGCTCTAGGCCAACCCCTGAAAATCAGCCCCATAGCATTATCCCTCCACCAAACTTTACAGTTGAGTCCAGTGGTGTCGTGCTTTACACCACTCCATCCGACGCTTGACATTGCGCTTGGTGATGTCAGGCTTGCATGTAGCTGCTCGGCCATGGAAACCCTGCTATGAAGCTCCCAGCGCACAGTTTCTGTGCTGATGTTAAAGCCAGAGGAGGTTGGAACTCTGCAGTTATTGATCAGCAGAGCGTTGGAGACTTTTATGCACTATGCTTCTCAGTGCTCAGCGTCCCGCTCTGTAACTTTACATAGTCTGACTTTTCAATAATACCACACAGTTGATCGTGGAATATCTAGGAGGGAAGACATTTCGTGAACTGACTTGTAATGGTGGCGCCTATTACAGCACCACGCTCAAATTCAGTGAGCTCTTTAAAAAGACCCATTCTTTCACTACTGTGTATACAGGCAGGCTGCATGGCTAGGTGCTTGATTTTGTACTCCTGTGGCAGTGAAACTGAATGAAATACCTGAATACAATGATTAAGATGTACCAATACTTTTGTCCATATAGTGTGTGCGCGTGTGTGTGTGTGTGCGCGTGTGTGTGTGTGTGTGTGTATACATATACAGTCAGAAGAAAGAGAGAGGGAGAGTCCTGTCTGAGTTTTTGTAGTTTTTATAATAAAGTCATCTTTAAAGCCATCATCCATTTATTTTGTCATTTCTTTCTGCAGAAAAGAGGTGATGACTTTGAGACGGTGTCGTTCTGGCTGGCCAACACTTGCCGCTTCCTGCACTGTCTGAAACAGTACAGCGGAGACGAGGTACAGACATTTAGCATGCTTCACAGCTCTGTTCAGTCTGTATGTCTGTTTATCAACCATTGTTGATCTCAAAACACATACTGACAAATCTTTCCCCGTCGCCCTTTTCTGTTTCTTTTTATTTTATTCTTTTCTGTCTTTCCTTGTTTTTTTGTCTTTTTTCTGTCTTTCTTTCTTTCTTTCTTGCTTTCTTTCCTCAGCAATTTATGAAGTATAACAGTCCTAAGCAGAACGAGCACTGTCTGAGTAATTTTGACCTGGCCGAGTACAGGCAGGTTCTGAGTGACCTGGCCATTCAGATTTATCAGCAGCTCATTAAGTGCATGGAGAACATCCTGCAGCCCATGATTGGTGAGTTATTATTTAAATGTTTCGTTTCCATGACGACATTAATCCATCACTGGGCAGAAGGCAGGAAACACCCTGGATAGGTCACCAGTCCATCACAGGCCAGACAAACAGACACATATAATCTCTCACATACACACAAACACACACACACACACACACACACACCTAGGGGCAATTTAGCTGACTGCATGGCTTTGGGCTAATAATTCCGGCTGATATTGACTGAACTTTTTTAAAAATACAAATGTGAAATAATATAAGCTAATACAAATTTTTAGCCCTTAAAATCAATATCAGGCACTAAAATGTCTTTAAATAAAACCTTTTAATCTCTCTGTGTCCATCACTTTCTGTGTGTTTGTGTGTCCAGTCTCTGGTATGCTGGAGCATGAGACAATCCAGGGAGTGTCCGGCGTGAAGCCGACGGGTCTGCGGAAGCGGACGTCCAGCATTGCAGACGAAGGGACCTACACACTGGACTCCATCATCAGACAGCTCAACTCCTTCCACTCCATTATGTGCCAGCATGGCACTGACCCCGAGCTCATCAAACAGGTGGTCAAACAGCAGTTCTACATCATCGGTGCGGTCACTCTCAACAACCTGCTGCTACGGAAGGACATGTGCTCATGGAGCAAGGGCATGCAGATCAGGTACTACAGCATTGATCAGTTAATCATTCATACAGGACTAATTACTGATCGAGCACAGCAGCCAGCAGCATTTATCAATTATTAAATCTGAATCCTATACTTTTCATAGGGCGCTAATAACATATCATGTACAGCAGTCGTTAGCGTTCATCGATTATCAATGATAATTATTCATATAGGACTAATTGCAGATCAGGTACACCAGTCAGTTGCAGTTATGAATTATCAATCCTAATGTTACTGATTACAGTTCAGGTTCATCAGCTGTTTGCATTTATCAATTTGTCAGTAATAATTATTCATGTATGACTCATTACAGATCATCATCCGTAAGCATTTAGCATGTATTAGCATGCCCATGTTAACATTATTCATGACTTTCATACAAGGGATGTCTCAATCTGATTCACTGGATCGGGATCAGAGCTGATCCTGGCCTATTTTAATGGATTGGGTGTCGGATATATTAAGCCTGATCCACTTCCGATCTTTCGCTTCTTTTTTTGGGCTATGTTTACGCAGTTATTATAGAAGCAGCATAAACAGGCATCATCCACAACTAGCAGAAGTGGAGAGGATTTTCAGAAGCTAACAAAGAGATCTAAATGTCTGCAGTGTGGAACTAAGGCTATGTTCACACAGCAGGTAAAAGTGGCCCAAACTTATTTTCTCACCAAATCCGATTTTTTTTGTTTTGGCTGTTCACATTATCTTTTACATGTGATCTGTATGCAACATCAGTCGGAACAGAACAGCTCCTAAACTGACCTGCATGAGCAAAAGAACAACGCTTCACAAAGCTTCATGTGGCCCATTCAGAGGTAAACAATTATGACTGCCAACGAACGCCAGTCGCTCCCACAGGGTTCAGCTTCATCTTTGACTGCATCACAGGAGCCGTCATGAGGCTTCATTGGCTGACAGCTAGGTTGAACCCAGAATGTGTTCGAGCTCGCCATAAAAAGCCATGGTCACTTCTTTGGTTCGTGTCCTCAGATTCTTTAAACTTTGCTTTCAGACTTTTAACTGTTCTTTGATGGTACAGCCTCGTTCACATTCAGCCATTTCTTTTACAATCTCTTCGAACACAGAGCGGCTGCGATAAGTGTCTTCTAGTTTTTTTAAGACAGAAACATCAGCCTAAATGTTTATGAGGTCTCAGCAGCGCGAAATTATGATGAATGTGGAGCTGGACTGGCATAAAAGTCGTATATCAGATACATATTGGATTTGACCTCATATGAAAGCGTCTCAAATCGGAATTGAAAAGGTGATGCAGTGTTTTTTTTGCTGTTTCCACTGGCACACAGACACACATCTGTGTAACATATGAGGACACCTACAAAATACTGATCAAGGACATCAGCTATTAGCATTTATTGAGTTTTAGATCCATTTTAATGCCAGAAAATGTGGCAAAAATGTAAATGTAAAGCAAAACAAGACCACACAATAACTTTTCATCAAGTTCAGACGCTCTATGGTTATATATCTTCTTCAATCCTCCTTTTAAGGCTCGTCATATAACATGATACTCACATGTTTCATATCAAAATACTCCATTATCTTCATCACTACTTTTCTAAACTCTCTGCACACCATTTCACATGAGTCTCCGATGTGGACTGAATGAGGAATGAAGGGTTTCGGGCGTGATGGTCAGTCCTTAGTGATTTCCTCAGAGTCTATTGATCAGTTTCACACAGTAGACGGACAATGTAGACGGACACACCAATCCACCAGTTCCACACGGTGAGAGGCAGATGACGTGTATCTCAGCCCCTCTTCATAGGCTCATAACTCCAGATGTGAGTCTCGTACGATCTCGTGATAAGATGGAATGGAAAGGGCGACTCTACAGATTCAGGAAGTGTTTGAACTGGATTTCTGTGCTGAATTATCAGAAAGATACAGAAACAGATATAGAAACATTAAATTTGATGCGCAGGCGAGTTTGTGGAACCCAGAGGGTTAATAATAAAATATCTTCTCTGTTTATTCCTTTTCTTCCTTGTCTGCTTCTGTTATCTCTGGAAATACTTGTGACTCCTGAGGGTTAAAGCTGTAACGCTGTGTGTGCAGGTATAATGTGAGCCAGCTGGAGGAGTGGCTGAGGGACAAGAACCTGATGGTGTGTGGAGCGAAGGAGACACTGGAGCCTCTGATCCAGGCCGCTCAGCTGCTGCAGGTCAAGAAGAAGACCGACGAGGACGCAGAGGCCATCTGCTCCATGTGCAACGCTCTTACTACTGCTCAGGTATTACACACAAGCAAAGAGGGCAGAAGCATCAGAAATGCAAAAATGTATTATTTGGTATATTAAACCACACAAACTTGCATGGAAAAAAAAATTGTAAGATTTGCACGCTTTAATAGGAAACCCCTAGAACTTCCTTTCACCATTCACTATGTAGATTTAAATCTGTTAAATATTATGTTATGAGCCAATATCCAGGATTTTTCATTAGAAAACTGGCTGCTCTCTAATGTTATACATTCTCACATTTAAGAACCGTGAGCTTTCTGGACGTGTAGAACATGTGTTTTATGCTCCTAATCTGTTTAGTCCAATTAAAGACAAATGAACACTACTTTTAGACCACTGCAGCTGTCTAAAGGCTCCCGCACACTGAACAAGAAGCACTGCGCAGAGCACAGCTGCAGCTTTGGATTGACATTTATCTGTGTAAATGTCATGTCTGATATGGATTTTGTGGTCTGAGTTTAGTTTAGTTTAGTAACAGTGAGATGCAGAGTGGCTCATTTTTTGACGCTGCTTTTATTTCCTCATTATTTTTCAAATTGTGTCTTAGAAATATTACACTTGACTGAAATGCCCATCCACAGTACATACAAACAGTATGCCTTTAAATATATATTTTAGCTAAGTAAGAGTGATATTCTCTCTCTCTCCCCCTCCCTCCCTGCCTTCCCAGATTGTGAAGGTGCTGAACCTGTACACACCTGTCAATGCATTTGAAGAGAGAGTGTCGGTAACATTCATACGAACCATACAGGTGAGACTCCACACACGCCGTAATACCCTTTTTTAAATACCTTTTATTTTCTTTTTTCTTGAAATGGAAGACGCTTAAAGGGGATTTTTCTCAGATTTTCTGCATAATTTAATAAACGAAAAACGAAATAAATGAAAAGCTCCGTTCTAGAGAAACTTATTGAGTCAGAATTGTTCACAGTGGCGGTGATAGGAACCCGATGTCCACCTCTAAAAGTTCCCTCACAGAAAGTTACTACATGAAATGGTTATGAATTCACTGCCTGATGACTGAGACACTGTTTTATGATAGTTTTTATGAAGATTTTGACCTTAAAACACAGTGGAGGGATACATGCAGGATGTTGTGAGGCAAAATAGGCCCCAAAGAAAATGTTTCAGATTTTTCACTATTTTACCATCATCAACATTTCCATATAAAAGTCAGAAGACACGTGTAGGTTCACTGGTAGTTTTGGACAGTAAATAAAATGGCTATATTTGTTTCTCTACAATGATCTATTTCACATCAAACCACTCTGAATGACTTCGTATGCTTCTCAACCATTGTATTATGCAGAAATTTTGAATGAGTGGAATTCCCCTTTTCCAATTGCCAAGTTCCTCAACTCAGTAACTAACGCACTCCTGTTTGGATTAACTTTTTTGCTGTCAACAGCGTTGGGGTTGTAAAGAAAGTAATCTGTTATATAATACTGATTACTTTTGTATCAATTTGAGCACAATATTTGTAAATAAACAGCCGGTCACAGTAAACATCATTTAAAAGCCCAGTCACTGTTTCTGGCCTTCCTATGAACAGGCATCTCCATCTCTCTCTCTCTCTCTCTCTCTCTCTCTCTCTCTCTCTCTCTCTCTCTCTCTCTCTCTCTCTCTCTTTTTCAGAATCGCCTGCGGGATCGGAAGGAATCACCGCAGCTTCTCCTTGACACCAAAATAATCTACCCGGTCACCTTCCCCTTCAACCCCTCCTCTCTGGCCCTGGAGACCATCCAAATCCCTGGCAGCCTCAACCTGGCCTTCCTCACCCGCGTGTAGAAACCTGCCAATCACGCCGCCTCGGCCAATCACGTCAGGAGAAAGATGAAGAATAAATAATAAAAAAGGAACACAAATGAATATCACACCCTCAAAGAGAATGCAGTGGTACAGACTTCATATCACGTCACTGATCTGTCCAGAACAGATCGTCCTCATACACAAACACATCCCTCTGTTCTCGTTCGTCCAGCACTGGAAGATTGCAAGGAAGAGCTTCAGTGGCTTGAGATGACCGATAGGAATGTACCATTTTTAAAAAATCACTTCCTCCGGTTGGGTTCATCACGAATGCACTCTTCAGAACAGTACCTGTACCATGTATCACTGCATAGCTATATAAGAGTATGTATCATGCTAGAAAGTTTTATTTATTGCTTTAACCCATTCTCTGCTTTAGATAATTCCCCCCGAACTCAAACACAGATACGCGGCTGTTTCCATATCCGGGACGGTCCGATCTTAAATCGTCAGGAAGTGAAATAGTATGTAAACTCTAGTCCTCTATTTGCAGTGTCCATATCAGATGAATAATGTAGAATAATTTTTTAAAAAGGCGCTACAGTAAGTCTGCTTTCGATGTAGATGTTTATTTGTTCGTAGGCCGTGTGAACAGTGGCTTTTAGTTTTTAGCGTACGTAGCTAGTTGTGTCTCACGTCACTTGGCGCTTGATGATGTCACGCACACCTGCACCGCTTTGAAGTCAAGAGCCTCCGCTCCTCGTCACACGTCCTTCACGTCTCTTCATCTCAAGCTTGGAAAACACAGGTGAGAGGTGTGCGAGTGGTGCGGAGGTCTTCAAATCCAGGCCTTGAGTCCAGTTTTCGGGTCCTGGATTTTGTAATTACAGTGAAAGGCTTGGAAACTGGATTTAAGGTCTGGACTTGAAGACCTCTGGAGCTCTACAGACATGTGACTGAAAATTTTACAGCTGTCAGGAGAGTTTTGGAGAGTTCTAGAGCAGTGCTTCCCAATCCAATCCTGAGGGATGACCAGATGGTCCACTTTTTACTGTATCCCAACTCACAGCACACCTGTACCAGGTATCACACCTGATCTAGGGAAGTTTGACTGGAAATTTTAGAGTGCTCTCCGAGTTGTGGAGAGTTCTAGAGCAGTGTTTCCCAATCCAGTCCTAAGAGACCACCAGATGGTCCACTTTTTACTGTATCCCAGCTCCTACCACACCTGTACCAGGTATTCATTCTTGAATGCTTGATCTAGAGAAGTTTGACTGAAAATTTTGGAGTGGTCACTGAGTTATGGAAAGTTCTAGAGCAGTGTTTCCCAATCCAGTACTGAAGGACCACCAGACGGTCCAATTTTTGCTTTATCCTAACTCCCAGCACACCTGTACCAGGTATTCAGTTCTTGATTGCTTGGTCTACAGATGTTTTAGTGGAAATTTTGCAGCTGTTATTGAATTCTAGAGAGTTCTAGAATGGTTCCTAATCCAGTCCTTAGGTGTTTTGCACACCAGAACCTTTCTTATTGGCTCTTTCAGCTCCCAGCACACCTGATCCAAATGCTAAAGAGCTGCATACCTGGCTCAGGTGTGCTGGGAACTGCTAAGAAGTTACCTATCTGGGGTTCCCTGAGGACGAGACTGGGTAATGCTGCTCTAGAAGTTCTCCAGAACACAGTGACTGCAAAAAATTTCAAACTTCTTCAGAGCTAGAACACTATACTGATCATGTATTCTCTAGTAAACACCAACAAACCCAAACGTTGGGTTGGTGTTTCATACCTGTGGCTGTTGGAGAGTCTCCAGAGCACAGGTTCTTCAAATCTGGAGCTTAAATAGAGCAGTCCTGAATTTTGGAATCGCTCAACTGTTGGTGGAACTGATTGGCCACTTAGTGTCATATCAACCAGCGATTTAGAAAATCCAGAACTGGAAACTGGACTCATAGTCCAGATTTGAAGACCTTTGTCCCCTGAATATCACAAAGCCTGTTCTCAAGTAAACACAGATGTCAGATTGATTGTGTTAGATCTGTGTGCTTGTTAGAGAGTCTCTAGATCTAGGCTTTCCAGATCTTCTCCTGAACATCTTAAAGTCACCAGCTCTCAAAGTCACATTTTGGATGAGCCTGTATTTTCCAACAAACATAAATAAACCAAACTGCTGGGTTGGTGTATCATGTTGGAGAGTCTCTAGAAAGTTCTCCTCGATTCGCACTTGTTCATTTGGCTTGTCAGTTGTTGGTGTTTGTCAGAATGGCTTGTCTGGCTGTAAAGTTTCTCCACATCCTGTGCCAAGCCGGAGTCTCGAATGCACGAAAGTGCACACTCGCTAGCTGACATGTACCTGTGCACTACTGAACTACTGAACGACAGGAGTGGAGGCTCCGTCTCTTTCAGCCTCCAGACGCTTCCTTCAGTATTACCAGGTTTTAAAACCTAAAACACTGTTGCTTCAACAGCATGCTATGTTAAATAATAAATTGGGTGATATTAATGGGCAGGGCTCTATTCTCGTTTACTCTTTTGTTTGTTTATGTTTTGTTTGTTTATTTGAATGTGCAAGGCAGCAGGTCTGACGCTGATTTAGTGACCAAGAAAACCCCTGGAACTGCACACGAATGCACACACAACACACATATACATACGTTAAGAAAATATTGTCACTGTCACAACAAAATCTAAATGGTAACTTTACAGGAGAAGTAAAACTTAACTCTTAACTTTTAATGGAACAAGTACTTTTGGAGCATTTCTATTGGTCAGTTGTTTTACAGTGTAAAGAATAGTTGGCATTTTTAAATTCTGCAAAAACAATATAAAAAAAACAACCAAAATAATACGAGCATAGAAGGTTTTGTTCTGACAGTGACTCTGTACACATACATACATACTGTACAAAAGTCCAAGGCACCTGGTAATAAATGCATTCTGCTCAATAAAACACTAATTATTAGAATAAATCCAAATAACATTAACACAGTCTTTGCAGTGATATGCTGGTGGATTTGACCAAATCTGTAAGATAGCTGGTGGCGTCAAGGAGAAATTTGAAATTTGCAAGCAAACATTTTGTTCTGCAAACTAGCTCTGAACTGCTTTTCTCACAATGCGTATTTTTTTGTTACTGTATTTCTGTATTTATGTTTATTTGTTTTTATTCTAATGATAAATTAGAATTTTACAAGCAAAACACACTTATTGTTAAAATAAGTGGTTTTAAATAATGTGCTTAGGTGCCTTAGACCTTTGAGTGTGTATGCGTGTGTGTGTGTGTGTGTGTGTATATATATATATATATATATATATATATATATATAATATATATATAATATATATATATATATATAAAAATATAGATATATATAGATATAAAATATAACTACACACTCTTTTCTTTCACATATCAGTGCACTGGGAATGCACATACATACGCTATTCTGCTGTATTTCACATATGGGCCTCATACCAATGCACACACACCATACAAACACAAAACGGGGACCCTGTCTGGGGGGAAACCACCCGCTCTGCATTGCTTGTACCGTGTCTATATCTTTAAATGCCTTATTCGTAGTTGAGGACTAGTTGACTTTTAATGTATGCCGCTCCTCCACACTGCCCCCCTCCTCTCTCCTCTGTACCAGCAGCTCCGTTACAGCAGTCCAGTTCAAACCTCAACATCAGCCCTCGTTTTGTCTCTAAAGCAGACATGAGGCACCATTCATCAGGTGCGTTTGGTTTGTTCTGCTATCTCGGGACCATCTATGCGGTGGTTTTGCATTATTTTGTTTGTTCTAAGTGGGAAAATTGTGGGATTATACTGGAACAAGAAACGTTTAAAACAACTGAATGTTAGAGTATTATTATTCATGATTTTGATAAAGCCTTACCTTGGAATGGAAAACAGTGCTATCGAGGTGGTAAATGCATTTCCTCTTCCTGTTTCCTGTGTCCTGTAGTTTATTTATTTTTTCTGCCATTTTTCACGTCCCTAAAGTGGAGCAGTGATGCATTGTTGTAGTTCAGTGTGTCTTTTATGCACTTTTAACTATTTGCTGGGGGAAAAAATAAGACAAATCCAATGCCATTCACTTTCATTCGGCCTTGGGCTGTCAGCATTGGCTGCGCTAGGCTAAACGTGGCAGATGCTAATGAGTCATCTTATCTATTGTGCTACTGATATCATTATTATATCAAACCACACTATCATGTTGGTGTGATCCCAATCCCAAAAGACCACCAACAGCACCATCATCACCAAATTTGAAACAAGTTGCACTAATCCATCATTCTAGATTAAAATGAGATCTCAGTTTATAAACGTATCAGTTTAATAAGTGAATTAATGGGTTTGCATTGTGGTTATGATGGAAGATCCTGCAGTTTTGCAGCTGTATAAAGTCCATTCATGCCTGTACAAAAGCGTAGCATTCAGAAACATCTGTTAGCCTTGTTAGCTCTAGCCGAATAGCTAGTCATCCCGTACCAATGATAGATGAGTTTGTTTTGCTCAAATGTGGTCCAGCCATAGAGGAGCAACCTTCTCCTCTGACTGACCCATGAGTCAATTTGGAAATCTGGGGGGAGAAAATAAGAACTAAACTGTTCGTAGTCTCTGTAGCTGTGACAATTACACGTGTTTCACCATTGAGATTCCATGGAGTAAGGTACAAATGTCAAAACCTGTTTGAGTCGAATAAAAAGAATTAAGCACTATGATTGGGCTCTTATTTCACACAGTTCTGTCTGCGTGGAGACAGATCGCAGTACTCCGGTGCGCTGGAGTTGGAAGTGCAGCTAAAGTGTATGTTGGGCCTGTTCACACTGCCTTTACTTGCGCTTTCAGTGATCGGCTCATTCAGATTTCACCAGACTGCGTGAAAAGCCAGGTGTAAACACCACCAAGACACATTACAATCAGATCTCAGGCCACATTCAGAGTGGTCAGAGACGGATCTTGATCACATTTAACGCAGGGGTAAATGGAATGTGTTTTTGTACAGCGGCGTTTTAGGGCCACTGTTAATAAAAATATAAATAGTAGACTTCGAGAATAAAGTCGTAATATTTCGCGGAAAACATCGTACGGTATGATACTTCGGAATAAAGTCATAATATTTTGAGAAAAAAGTACTGTTTCGAAAAATAAGTCATACTATTTCGAGAGAAAAAGATGACTTTTTTCCTCTAAATGTTACAACTTTTTTCTCGAAGTCTACTGTTTTGATTTTTATTAACAGTAGCCCTAAAACGCCGTCGTAGTTTTCGTTATCCATGTCCAACTACATGAGCAAAAATGCATCTGCTTAGTTCTGACTAGCAGGTGAGAGAATGAACAACAAAATGTAAGACGGAGGACACGCAAGGCTGAAGTTATCCCCAAACCAAGGGCCTTCATGCACTCCAAGCATATGAAGATGTCCAGGCCATGCATGTCCATTCATAGTAACGAGGAAAAGAGTAAACAAAAGTAAAGTGGGAATAATGTGGGTGTTGACAAGCTTTTTACGTGAGAAAACTGCAGGGGGCTCTGAATTGGTCACACTGAGGACGCATTTTAGTGAAAAGATCTGGACACAAACATGTTAATGCAAGATGTAAACACACCCTGTGTTACTTCAGTCTATATCAGATTTATAGAAATGACAGCATTTTACACAGTTCCCCCCATTTCTACGTGGTTTGAGGAAAGTGTGATCATTCAGGCACATGCAGGTTGGATGCTAATTGCTGATTTACTTGTTAGCTATGTTAGCCTGTTAGCTCCAAAACTACAGAAGCAAACTTCAGATACCAAGCATGTCTTGGCTGGACTACATTTGAAGTAAGGAAACTGTACAGTTTGTTTTTCTGCCCCTTTAATGCAATAATATTATCTTAATTGTAGCTTTAACAACTCATTTGTGCCCCCTTTAGTGGAAGATGACCTTTGGCCCTTTAAGTAATGATGGATTTGTATTCTTTTTAAATCAAAATACTTCTACTCAGATATATTAGTGAAAGGAATCTACTTTTTACTTAGTTGCATTTCAGTCATTCATATCTAATTATTACTTCCTTTTTTTGTTAAAGTTTATTTTATTTAGCATTTTATTTTGGGCCAAAATAATCCCAAAAAGAGAAGAATAGAGTCTTCAGTTCTGGGGCTAAGAGATGCTGGAAGTTCCACTGCAGTAAGTTACTCAGTACTTAAGCAGTTTTTTAGAAACTGTTACTTTTATAATCATTATTTTAACAAGTATCAATGCTTGTACTTTATTGATTCAGGCTACTCTTCTCACCTCTGAGACCAGCTTTCTCAATGGAGTGGTGACCATTTTACTGTCCACGCTTTCAGAGTGCTAGATGTGTGAGTGGAGAAAGGCGCCATGGCGCCCTCTGCTGGGCGCAGGTTGTCATTGCCAGTGAAAATCCTTAATATCACCATCTATATTGTACCTGCACTGTTAGGTCTGCTATTCACATTTTTAAATATGTTAGTTACACTTCCTGAAATATGTGATACATAATGCTTCTTTTGAATAAAAATTGTACGTACTGTATGCATTTATATCCAAATGCATTTATATCCAGAAACCTCATAATCAAAACGCAGTGGTCAAATCCCCCTGATCTCTTTGGTCAAATGTCTCTTCTCAGTAATTTCATGACAAGAAATGAATATAAAGAGATACATTTATTAATTATTTAATAACATGTATTATTTTCTGCCATGCCATAAATTCTCATGGTTGTGAAAATCATTTAAATTGTGAATAAACCCGGTCAGTGTTCAGTTTAACATTTCAGTCCAGACAGTATTAGTTATTATCAAATAACAATTATGAATATGACATTTTTTGAACGGTAGAGTAAGTGCATAGGGAAGAGCGGCGCTCAACCTACAAATTTTTACCAATAATTTTCAATTAATATTTTTACAAACAGAGGGGCTAAACAATGTCAGCACAATGCAGTACATTTTTATGCTATTTGAACCTGCTTTCCAACCCAAAATCATAGAAATATATGCAACACAATGATCATCATTAGTACAGAGCCCTGCTGGTGACATCCTGTATAAATAAAAATAATGCATGGCCACGTCATATTGACACATGGGACTGAAATCCTAATGTGTGGCCACGACTTCATTATCTTGTTCCCATGTCTTACTAAGTTGTGGCTACGCACTGGGATCTCGTTCCCATGCCTTACTAAGTTGTGGGCATGCATTAGGATCTCGTTCCCATGCCTTGCTAAGTTGTGGCCACGGTTTAATTATCTTGTTCCCACACCTTACTAAGTCGTGGCCACAACCTAATTATCTTGTTCCCATGCTTTACTAAGCTTTGGCCTCAGATTAGGTTCTTGTTTCCATGCCTTACTTATCTGTGGCCACAAATTAGGTTCTTGTTCCCATGCCTTGCTAAGTTGTGGCCACGACTTAATTATCTCATTCCCACACCTTACTATGTCTTGGCCACACCTTAATTATCTTGTTCCCATGCCTTACTAAGTTGTGGCCACGACTTAATTATCTTGTTCCCACACCTTACTT